ATAACGCTCAATGCGGGTCATTTATGCAATTTGTCAATTTGCCAATTTGCCAACGTCTGACAAACGAAATGAAATAGACACATTTATTGGCTACGAATTTATGAGCATAAGAAAATTATTTATGCTCTACTTTTCTCTCTCACTCTCACTATCTCTCTATCTATCTTTCTCTCTCGCCTGCTGACAAAAACGGGTCAAAGTTATAAATCTCGTCTATAAAACATATTCGATACGTTTGCTATTTGCTGATGTGTAACAAATCAACAACTGTTTGGAAAAACTCGGGCATAATGAAGCAGATAAAGAAAACATTACTCATACGCAAGGTTAACCACTTGTTCAACACAAGACCAAACCGAACAACTCGCAGGCAGCAACCACAGTCAAACTCAAGTATAACGCATGTTATCACACACACACATATATAAAGAAAAACTTGTAATAATTTTACGAAAAAAAATGTGATAAAACGATGACAAAAACTGTCTAGACTTTTTTGCTTGAGACGGGAAAATTGCTTTTCTTATAGCGGGCATTGTTTATGTACGTATTAAAGTCGTTAAAATTGTGCGCTGTCGGGCATACGAAAAGTCAAAATTTCCATTTGTGTAAAACACGAAATATTTCTAGAATTTTACGAGCACGAAGAAGATACAACAACAACAACAGCAACAACAATGCAGCTTAGGCGGATTTATTGACGCAATTGATTTGAATGAATTTCGTATTGGTTTTTATTTGGGTTTTTGCTTTGATTAAATATACTATATGCATACATATATAGTATATGCACGTTTATACACATTGAACAATTTTGTAAACACCAATTGGCCATAAAATTGCGTTCACCAAATAAATTCACTTTATATACATATGTCTATGTCTATATATATATATTTAACATTTTATAATTACAACAAAAAAAATTTTTAGGAATCTCGAATTACAACAATTTAAGTTCATAAAATCAAATAGAAAAAGCAAAAAATTTCAGCCGGACGAAACTGACTGCCGAATACGCGCTCAAGCTACGTAAACAGTTCAATCTATTACAAAGTCTATCTTTTATAGATATGCAATATAATATTTTTGGGGGAAAAAAAAACTAATATGAATGTAACTGTTCAGAAAATTCTTTACTCTAAAACAGATTTAAGTATATATTTTATCTGACTGAAGTCGACATGCATGATTCTTTTTGAAGAGATATGAAAGTGTGTTAGCTGCAGACAGAGTTATAAAACACATATCAAGTCTTCATAAAGATACCTTTTTCACAAAACTGATATACCCCATTTATACTATTTACGCTCCCTTTCAGTTGACACCCTTTTACTAAAACAATAATCCGAAATGACAAACAGATAACAAGAAACAATCAAACATACTCTGTTCACACTTATCAAACGCGACTCTAAACAGTCTAACAATAATGATATATGATGGATAATTAAAACGATTTTCTCGACTCAGTTAAAAATCTATTGACAAATGGCTTATTTGTCGTTCTCTCTGTGTCACTCAAAACAAATGCCGGTCAAACCATAACAAAATCGCATTTTCGAATAATGCGACTTTCCACAGATAATTATAGACTAGACATATAGGCATTGTCTGCACACACATATACATATGTATATACCATGGTATATACGTATATGTGTGACGCCTTCAAATGTCTGAGATACATTTGAACGATATGGTTCGTTGGACCGTATATTAATAAAGACATAATTGTTGTGTACAATGAGCCTCACGAAATTCTGTTGACTATTTTAATATGAGTTGTTTATTTTTTTTAGATTATGAGTAAAAAAAAAAAAAAGAAAAACTTTATTGTGCCTCCATTGGAGCTCTGCTTAACTGCAAATGAGTCATGACTGGCTTGATTTTTACTTTGTTTTGGGTCTTTTTTTATGATGTTTGCTAACTATTGTTTATTGTTGACTTCTTCAAGGCCGAAAACAATTGTATTTCGAATGTAAATCAAAAGCTCAGCTAGATGTTATGTTAATTAGAGTGGAAAATGCGAAAGGAGTTTGGGTAGATATATGTACATGTATATGAATGTATATATAATACCTATATTGTATATATACACATTGATTCCAGTTAACATATATTTTAGATATATATAGAGAGTTGACAGCCATTTTGATTGCACTAGTTTTTATTTAATAATTTTTATATTTAATTAGTTTTAATTTTTATATTTGATTGAAATTCTTTAATTAAACTCATAATATCTATCTATAGTAGCTGCTATATATAAATTTTAAATTTTGCTCTGAATTAAAATACTTTTTAACTGAAAAAAAAAAAAAAAAAAACAAAAACAAAAAAAAACAAACAAGAAAATAACAACGTTTGTTTATTATTTTTGCGAAATTCCCTACAAATTTCCATTCTGTAAAATATGTCAAAAATGTGTAATGCAAATGGTAACACGAAAATCTATAGGCTGACATCTGTTGCAATTGAAATTGCATTATTTGCTATTTTTTACTGCATCTATTGATCCAACAAATAGCACTAGTAAACACACTCACCCACACACAGATACTATATGCATTAGAGTACTACTCGTGCATTCATCTCAAACACATTCTGTGGAGCACTCGAAGCCAGTGACAGCAATAATCAAATCTACATATGTAAATTGATTGAAACCCTCGTCAGACATTTTCCTCGCATTTTTTTCTGTTATTTGACCAAGTGGAAAACAGAAGAGTAGAAATATTTGTATCTTTTCTGCATGCTCGCGCATATTCAGTGACAATGCTCAATATTCGCAGCAGTAAATTGAGTCGGGTCATAAAAAAGGCAGGCGTCAAACGTTATGCTTTGTGCAAATCAAATTTGTAACGCCCCCCAATTGGCATGCCCATGCTCGTGCTATGGCCCCCCATTGTCACAATGCTGCCCATCTGTTTTTCGCTGTTGTTGTAGCAGGCATGCACATGGTGATAAAGCTCTGCGAGCGAGAGAGAGAGAGAGAGAGAGAGAAAAGCTCACACGTCTGCCATGCATTGCAAACACAATCAGCTGAACGTCGAAAGCTTTCAACTTGCTGCGCAGTTTCGTTTCAGCGTCAATGCAAACAAACATATGTTTGTGTTTTCGTGTGCTCGCGTTTGCGTGTATGTGTGTGTGTGTGTACTTCTGCATGCTGGTCACAACGTCAACAAAGCACAGCTGTGTATGTGCGCCATAAGCTTTGTAAATTGGCGCGCTCACGACGCGTGCTCTCTCTCACTGAGACGCTAACTCGCTCTCACTATCGCTCTCGTGCTCTCTCTCACACACTCTCTGACTGTTCCAATTCGCCGTCCCCACCCCCACTCACTTTAAAAACTCACTCGCTTATTGCGCACCTTTCAAGCTGTCAACAAAGTGAACCCCACTGAGTTGTTACGACAACAGCGGCGCATTGTACAACTGTAACGGCATATTCGAGCCAAGGCTATGGAAATTTAAAAATACTTGCACATTTGCAATCATCCCCTAGATTACAGTTAAATGCTGCCAATCATAATAAAAATTTGCTACGCGAGTTTTCTTATCTTTACGTGACGGGGTAGTTTGTTATAGCGCGTTTTCACTGTCCCATGACCGTTGACTTTATAACTTGTTTTCCAGACGGAATGGAAACGGTAGCGCATTCGCCATATAACAGGGCGCCCAAGTCTATGATATTTGTGTTTACCTAGGGCCGCTGCCAAGTGCACAACGCACAAGGTCATTGTAAATGTGTTTTTATTATAGAAAACAAAATTTCTATAATTCTACAAATTCTATTTCTTGCTTGCCCCAGAAAAACTGTTTAAAACCGAAAGCACCACAACAATATTTGTATTTGCTTTAGCTAAATACAATTTCGTAATGTAGCGTATGTATATTTATTTACGTCGCAAGGTCGTCGTCATCAGACATTTACAGCCGCGCTATGGGCTAGTTTATGAGGCCTCAGTTTTGGGCGCTAGCCACACAAATTGGAAAAATCTATTAAAAAAAAAAAATTAAAAGAAATTTGAAACAAAACAGGCCACGCGAAATGCGTATTGATAGATATTCTATTCATTTCTATTTGGTGGCATCAAAATTGTTGTGATAAGTTCTTATCTGATTGGAGCTGTAGGGGCGGCAGCACCGTTAGTAGCATAAGCAGGAGACTTACATCAGATGAGAACTTATTGCATCGTCTAATTTCGGCATAAAAAAACAAATATCCAAATATTTTCGAAGCGCCCAAACCATAATTTGAACGAAAAAGCTTCCTGCAAATCCGCCCCTGTGCGCATGACGGCGACCTACACACAAAAACAAAAACAACAAACAGCGCCAACAACAACAGCAACAGCAGCACAAAAGCACACGACGAGCTGAGCAGCAGCAGCAGCAGCAGCAGCAACTGGCAAAACGGGCCAGAAGAATATACAGACAACACACGGAGGCGAGTTCGTTCTTGTGTTGTGGTTTTTAGTTGAGCGTTTGCTGGCGTTGCGAACGGACTGAGAGAGAGACACCATCAGAAATTGAAATAAAACTAACAGCCAAAGCAACAGCAACTGCACCAGCTACAACAATAACAGCAACAATTAGAAAAGCTAAACAACAATAACTATAACAACAACAAACAAACAAACAACAAAATAAAGTAACAAAAACAAAGAAGTGGCTTTTTGTCGTAGTAAAACGCCATTGACTGGAATATTTTGAGCGCAGAGACAGAAAGACAGCTGGAAAGAGATAGAGAAGAGAGACGTAGAGCGGGGCAGCAGGTAGTCTGGCAAGTGGCCCCTGCTTAACACTCCAAACACACTCACATACAAACGCACACGCACATAAAAACAATTTGTTGTGGTTTTCTTTGTTTCGACAACAACAAATTTTGTTAAATTAGTGCGCAATTACAACAACAACGACAACAACAACAACGAAGGCAAATACAAACGTGCGCAGCAAATTGTTTAAATCGACAATTGCAATAGGAAAAAAAATTAACGCTGCGCAAAAAAACAAAACAACAACAACATAGAGCACAAAACGTTGCATTACGACATCAAAAAATAATATATACTATATATAATAACGAAATTCGATGTAAAACGCAACTTAAGTTCTCCCAAAAATCAATAAGCAACAAAAGGCAAGCAGCGAAGGAGCAGGCAGAGACAGAGGCTGCGACAGCAGCAGCAAGAAGAAGAAGAACAAGCACAGCACAACTGGCTGAACAAGAACCGTAAAAGCTTTACCACTTAAGGCAAAGCTTCAAAGTGCAGTTAAACGCAGCCAGCACGCAACAGCAACGCAAAGCTGAACCTGAACAAAAACAAAAACAAAAACAAAAGCAAAAGCAAAACAAAAAGTGAAAAGTTAAATTTACATAATTCATTGGCCGCTGCGACAGCATTTAAGAGTGCTACAGTGACTGTGTGAGAGAGTGTGAGGGAGACAGACACAGACAAAGAGAGCGTGCAAGATGCCCTCATTGCTGGAGGCGCTTGAGCGCAAATATTTCGCCGAATGCGAATTCGAGAACGCCAATCAACCCGAGCTGCACAAGCGCTCCGATTTGCCCAATGATTTTACAGTTACCAAATGTGGCGGCCGCATGGAGTTCTCCATATTCATACCCCGTCTCTCGCCCCTGACCAGTGTGCCCGCTCTGCTGGTGCTCAATGACTGCGACATCGACTGCGCCGGCGATTTTGACAGCATTCGGGAGAAATGTCAGCGTGTGCGTGAGCTGGATCTGGCGCAGAACAAGCTACAGGACTGGCATGAGGTGTTCAACATACTGAAGCATATGCCGCGCATTGAGTTTCTCAACCTGAGTAAGAATCAGCTGATGAATGTGCCCAGTGCGTTGCAGGCGGCGCCAACGATCAATCTGAAGAATCTGGTGCTCAATGGCACCTACCTGGACTGGATGTGTGTGGATGCACTGCTGCAGAACTTGCCGGTGCTGCAGGAGCTGCACTTGAGCCTCAACAACTACACCAGCGTGCTGCTCGATGCGGCGGCCGAGGGCAGCTGCCAGTGTGTGCCACAGACAGAAACGGGAAGCGAGGCAGAAGCAAAAGCGGAAGCGGATACGGAAAAGGAGACGTGTTGCAGCCTGTGCCAGGGTCGTCGCAAGCTAACCCAGGCACATGGCACTCTGAAGACCCTGCACTTCACCGGCAATCCCATCGAGCACTGGGAGGAGATCTGTCGGCTCGGTCGACTGTTTCCCCGCCTAGAGGCCTTGGTGCTAGCCGAATGCCCTATCAAATCCCTGCAGGCGTCAAACACAGCCGAATTGGATTCGGCCACTGCCAGCGAGTGCCACAAATACTTTCCCTGCCTCAAACTGCTCAATCTGAGCTGTGCTCAGCTCAATAGCTGGGCGGACATCGATGAGCTGGCCAAATACGAACAGCTGCAGAATCTGCGCGTCAAGCATTGGCCCCTCTGGGAGACGCTGGAGTGCACGGAGCACGAACGTCGCCAGCTGCTGATTGCACGACTGCCAAATGTGTCCATGCTCAATGGCGGCGGCAAGATCAGCGTGGACGAGCGCGTCGATGCGGAACGTGCCTTTGTGCGTCACTATATGGACAAGCCGGAAGCGGAGCGTCCCGCACGCTATGCCGAACTGCTGGCGGTGCATGGCCAATTGGATCCGTTGGTCAATGTGAATCTGAAGCCAGAGAAGCGGGTGAAGGTCGTCTTCACGTACAACGATGTGAGCGAAAGTCGCTTCGTGGACATCTATCTGACGGTCAACGACCTGAAGGTCAAACTGGAGAAGCTCATCGGACTGGCGCCCAACAAGATGCGTCTCTACTATCTCGATCAGGACTACAAGGAGTTCGGGCCGGAGGAGATGCGATATCCCAATAAACAGCTCTACAGCTATAATATACAGTCGGGCGATGAGATCATTATCGACGCCAAGAAGTGAATCCGGAAGGCAGAATTATCGATGGACTATTGGAATGATGACAATTCCTGGAAATGTTGCTACACATATTGATTTGTGAACGAGCGGTGCTAAGAGCAACAACAATTTGTGATCTTGTATCAAGCTTCTTACTGACGGATACAAAAGCCCAACCAACATGCATATATCTATCTATCTATATATATAAAAAATACAGACATATATATGTTATGAACAACTTTAATCAATCGTACATATTTTTACAATTATTTACCGCCTTCCGACAAAACCGATCTACTGTATATATATTTCAATGGCCAAAACACACACAGACATACAAGTAATACACACCCACGCACACACTTGTCCATATATAAAGATATATTTTAATTAACATCCTAACCTAAGCCAGCTACAAACTATAAACAAAATACTTAAGTATAACAAACAAGCATTATATTAAAATTTAAAACAATTTTTGCTGAAATATGACTCAGAGTTTTTCTTTCTCTCGTTTTTAATGGATTCATTGTTATCGATTGGCTGGGAGTTGTCGTTGCGATAAGATACAGTTTGGAGTGCTAGGAAATACATATGCGCTAGATCTATTGTCTATGTCACGAACACTCGTTGGGAGAAAAAAGTGAAACCAGTGAAGTCTAGCTGCGCAACACTGAAGTTTGAATACCCTTTAGGAGATGGGACTTTGATATCATTTTAGAGAAAGCTGTTTATTACAAGATGAGAGCTTTTGCATGACAGTTTTTGATCTTATCATATAAGAATGAAAACATAGAGCGTGGGAGAAAAAGTAAGAAAATTTCCCTAGTACTTAGTTCAAGGCTATATGATATCATAACCCAAAGTTAATTTTAAGTAAAAAAAAAAACTTTTCTTATGAAATATTCAAAGAGTGAAAGAACTTCTGTTGTTGACCTCTAGTTTCTATGACAGTAATACTATACGATATGACGAATTGACCAACATACATACACGCACATGTAGAAATGGTTATATATAGAAATTACGTACTTATAGACTATTAGCTATGCCATGCACGCAGCTCGCTTGCGTTACATTTTTCATGAAACAATCATAATACCCTCTCCAAGTATAGGAAAATGAAATAAAAACTTCGTGACTCTCTGGTATTGCACGCGCGTCGTTTGTTGGGATCCGCTTCGTTTTTCTAAAAGCTTTCAATTATGGCAAGCGACAACTCGATCTGTTGATGTATTGCCAACATCTAAGCCAAAGCTTCCGTCATGCTTAATAAGCATTTTATACTTTATATATAAAATATACGCACACATCTTTTATATGATATTATTGGATTATAATAAAAAGTGCGAACTGTTTAAAGTTGAAACTTGTTCTGCGTCTCCCACACACAATTAACATCGCAATATGAATCCGAATTTATGATTGGGGTTATTTGTGCATAGTTTATTTTAATTGGCACTTTTTTTTTTAACTGAACAAACAGAACATGTGCTTTTGCTTACACACGATATGAGTTTATGATCTTCTAGACTGCGATCTTAAAAGGAGAACCGCAAATATTTGGCACAAAGATTCAAAGTTTTATGCGAATGCAAATCAAAATGGTTTTAATGGATTTATTTATATGGTTAACCACAAAAGTTCTTAAAGTTTTAGCAATTCAAAATTGCATTAGCTCACGATTCATTTATATGCACTATAAAAGATTATTTCGCAGAAAAAAAAATTACATGTAAAACATTTGGTTTTTAGTTCTAGAATCTATAAAAGAAATAGAAGAGAATAATGAAATATTTCAATATTTAGAAGAAAAATAAATATATCTGAATATAGTTTTTTTAAGCAAACCTTACTCTATTAAATTATTTTATTTTCTATAATTTAATTTTAAACTATGATTTAGGTAAGTATTATTGTAGTAAGTATTATTGTAAAATCTTTTATATTCTATATATTTTTTTTTTAATTATTTTTAAAATTTTTTATTTATTGCCTATAACATTAAAAAATTTTCAACAAGAATTTTGTATAAATTTGCTGATAATGAAATAAATATTTAATAAATTTATCGGAACCAAAAAATGTTATAATTAATTTAAAAATGTATTTCTTGAAGTAATTTATTTTTCTGTACCTCTTGAGCTTTGTAACAATTTGATAGAGCCTTAGCTAAATAAGCTAAAAGCTCTGCGTGCATGCTAAATTAATTGCATAAAGCTTGTTGCACAAATACCACTGCACCTATACACTTACATGAAAACTAAACTAACATTCTAGACTTATTTTGTCAATAAGAGTAAACACAAAAAAAAAAATTAATAAAAAGAAAATTGTTTTGGAGTATTAATGAATTATGGGATTTTAAAGAATTTTAAATAATGAAATAAATTTCATTATTATGGAGAATGTTTCTATTGAGGATAGAAATTTGATTTTGATTGTTTTTTGCTGCAATAAACCAAATAAAAATGCTCATAAATATTATAAGGCTAATGTTGCTATAAAAACAAGAAACAACTACAATTTTGGCAAATAAAATATTTGGCATATGCAAAAGGTATTCAATAAGAAATATGTTTTAATCAATCAAAGTTTATGGCATTTTGAGAGCTGCCTTTGCCACAAAACATTCTGCCATGGGAATTTTTTCACAAATTTTTCCTATTGCCTTTCTGTGTGTTTGAGTGTGCCGGCAATGAACACAGATAGATGCCTGAACTGCCTGTAGGCTGTCAGCCTACATGCAACAGAAGCTAATGCAAACAAGTTCTCCAGAAACTGGGTCAATGCAGCATGCAGTGTCTGCCTCAGGCTCCAAGTCAGCTTTAGAATATATTAGAATTTATTAGAATTTTTTTAAGCAATAGATCTATCATAAAGCTTATACATAGTTGTAATTGTAATGGGCCATCAAAATTTATTCCAGCCATAAATACGAACTCACACGCCCACCTTCAATCAATGGCAGCCCACCTATATTTGCATTAACTATCTGCCAAAAAATAAAAATTATATAGAAATGAGGCGTCGACATTTATGGCTAATGACGTATATCAAGCATACGACACGAAATATCGAAAAAACCTCTAGAGATCGTGACTAAACGAAGGAGCTCCAAACGCCCACAAAATGGCAAGCTCTAAAAAGAAATAAAATGTGCGAAAAAGTATTGGCAAAAAAAAAAAAAAAAAAATACGTAGACAATTTTATGACGAAGTCGCAGGTGTAACAAAATAAAATAAAATGCAAAATAAAATCAAATCAAATAAACGATCATAAAAATGCAAGGTGTGTAGAAAAAAAAAATAGCGAAAAACAGTTTATGTAGATAATTAATAAAATTTACACATGGAGGTTTTTTGGAAAGTCTATAGCCAGGGAAGGTTTTAAACGCTCGTAGCGCTCAGCAAACGATCGAGTTGTGATTTGTACGGCAAACGCGACACACGTCCGTATACCCAATTTCCGAGCTCTATTATCAGCCGTATATATATTACTAAAAATATATATATATATTTGTGTTACTTTTCGTAAAGTGTTGAAGTGTGTGTTTTGGGGCGGGGAAATGCACTTAAAATGGATCCAGAGAATGATGTTTATGCCTTCTATGATATAAGAGGCTTCAAGCGGTGCGATGATGCAACATTCAACTCAACTAAAACTCAATTGCATTACAAAACTAGCTAGCATCTCTATATAAATTGTGTTTATTTGTTTTTTGTAGGAAATGTAGACCGGCGGGACCAAATAAATCGCAAAAATTTCTGCAACCGCGAATGTCACTCCTAGGGAAGCCGCTGAACTACAATCGCGGCACACATCGCCGCGATGCGCGCTACCGGCGGATGCAAAGTCGCCTCTACAATTTTCTGGAGAGACCGCGCGGCCTGCATGCCATATTCTATCATGTGATGGTGTAAGTAGACAAACGATCCATTTGCCATATTAAACCAATAAAAACCGTATTCCACGCTCATGAATTCATAGGTGATCATCTAGTTGCATATCAAAATGATTTTCATCTTTGAAGTCTAAATCACATTTTTAATAAGATTTTAGAATTAACTTGATTTTAATTTTGTATTATTCTATTGTTTCTATCACTGAGTAGGGGCTCTATTATTTTCTTAAAAATCATTATATTAAAAAATAAATAAATAAATAAAAAAAAAAAAATAATAATAATAAAAAAATGTATATATCAACTATTAATACATAATAAATTAAAAAATATATAATAATAATATAAATACCAAATAATGTATATAATATATATACATAATAAAAAAGGATATAAACTCAAAAAAAAATATATTTTTTTTAATTAATAGAATTTTTAAAATATTTTAGTTTATTAAATCAAATCATTGCCTTAAAAAATATAAATATTTCATATGCTTTTTTCATTTTTTGACTTTAGCAGGCATAAAATAATTAATACTTCCCAGTTTTCCCTATCTAGACCTCTGCTTGGTTAATATTCTATATTTTTAGCTTTTATAATATTTTCTCTTTATAGATTTCTGATGGTGTTTACATGTCTCGCATTGAGCGTGTTTTCCACCATCAAGGAATATGAGGAGGATGCTGTATATATATTATTTCGCATGGAGATCATAGTTGTCATCTGGTTTACCATGGAGTTTGGAGCGCGACTTTGGTCGTCCGGCTGCCGATCGCGCTATCAGGGCACGCTGGGACGCCTTAAGTTTATAAAGCAACCATTTTGTATTATAGGTGAGATATATATATATGATATATTGCCTTAAATATTATTTAATGGGATTACTTGTCTGCTCCAGATATTATCACCATTTTAGCCTCAATTGTAGTATTAGGCATGGGCACCTCTGGCCAGGTGTTTGCGACGAGCGCCTTGCGTGGTTTACGATTCTTTCAGATACTGCGCATGGTGCGCATGGATCGACGCGGTGGCACCTGGAAGCTGCTCGGTTCGGTTGTATACGCACATAGACAGGTAGGCGTTCAATTTAACATGCATGTTAAAGGCAGTTTGTAAAATATGGGGTTTCTTCTCTACTTTATTTTATTTTTATCTTTTTCTTTAGGAGCTCATCACAACCATGTATATTGGATTTTTAGGTCTTATTTTTGCATCATTCCTAGTTTATATGTGGGAGAAGGACGTCAATGAAAAGTTTAGCAATTTCGCCCAGGCGCTGTGGTGGGGCGTGGTATGTAACCAAAAGAGAGCAGAGCAATAAAACGAACTGCAACTGTATTTGAATTATTCAACTTTGACCCAGATAACGTTGTGCACCGTTGGCTATGGCGATATGGTGCCCATCACTTGGCAGGGCAAATTGATTGCCTCGTGCTGTGCCCTACTGGGCATCTCGTTCTTTGCGCTACCTGCGGTAAGTCTATCCTTAATTCATGCTCTGGACACCGAAGGCCGGACAACCGAATATCGCTACGAAATAACCGAATATCATCATCATCATCATCGTCATCATCATCATCTTCATCATTCTCTCTTTGTTCACACATCCATGCCAATCCATTGAATTCACTTATTGCAGGGCATTTTGGGTAGCGGCTTTGCGTTGAAGGTGCAGCAGCAGCAGCGCCAGAAGCACATGATACGGCGTCGCCAGCCGGCGGCGACGCTCATTCAGGCCGTTTGGCGCTGCTATGCGGCCGATGAGCATTCCGTATCCGTGGCCACCTGGAAGATACATCAGGTGGCGCTGCCAAGTCCGCCCGCATCGTAAGTACACACTACCCCTTCCACCCAACCCACACAATTCACAGTTAGAGTCTCTAACATGGGCATAGCACTGCCCACCCACTTAGCATACAACAATTATTCAGGGATTTACAGCAAAAAATCAATAGACAAGTGTAAACTAGATAGTACTACCTGATACCTGCAACACCTGACAATTGCAACAATTGCAATTATGCATTATGAGCTACATGAAATAACTCTTGAGTTCTACAACAGCAAAAACTACACTTTAGGTTTACATTTGTTTAAGTTTTAGTTGAATTAATTTAAGTCTTAAATGAAAGTTATAATTATTTAATCTATTTATAAATATAATTATATGATAATATATTTATTATACGCAATTTAATTATAGTTTAAACTAATTTGTATTGATTCAGTTAAATTTATTGAATGTTTTGGTATATTATTTTTTTTATTTTTAAGTTTTTTTTTTTAATATTTTATCCTATCGAACTTTTAACTTTTCAAACTCATGATATTTTTCTATGTTTAAATATTTTTAAGTCAATTTATTTAGTTGTTTTTTTTTTTTTTGCATAGATTAAGTCCAGTTAAAAATGTTTAATAATTTACAAAAATATTTTAATAATAGTTAAAAAAGTTCCGTCACATATAACTAACTTCTTCGATCAAGAGTTATTTTATGTAATCCTATTGTACAAATTCACACCACACTCTATTCTATTTACACACACACACACACATACAACACACAACAAGCCCACCGAGTTGTATTTAAAAAGTGTGACAGAGACGTTGTGCGTACTGCAGTAAATACATTTGATGAGAATCGCAGCGAAAGGCGCTGCAGAAATATTCATTCTTGTAGTCTATACAATTTAGACAATACCCAAGGTCCATAGCATGTGTGTAGTGTGTACGTACTACCAAGAGCATTAACTAAATTTCTATATGATACACTCTAAATAATATCCACATAACCCTACAAGAACAAACCAAAAATCGAAATATATAAATCCAAAATGATTCCTATTTCGTCTATCGATTAACAATTTCAGTTTCAGCGTACTTAATTTTTCAACATTTTTTTACCCGTACCTCTATCATTTTCTTTCATAATAATTTTTATATATATATAAACTTTTCAGTTCTGAAAACTGGGAGCGATTATTAAAAAACATAACCGAATATAGGTAAAAGTGATAAAAAGACTTAAGCAAAAAAAAAAACGACAAAAATACTCACAACAAATTCAAAAAGCAAAATGTTTTCAAATGCAAATGCTATTCATGTTTCGTTTTATATTTTTCATAGGGTATTTTGCTTATCAAGCACCAAGCCATTAAAACATCAATTGCATCAAAATGCTCCAAAGTACTCATTAAACAAATCAAAAATCAACTAAGATAATCCCAACACACATCAATCGAGTTAAGTTTTTCTTTTTGTGTAATTCGCAGCTTCTATTTAACGCACCCTATCCGACTAACTCTGTCCACGTATCTCTAACTCTATTCCAAATTCATGCCCTATCGTATCTATGTTTAGATGACAATTAACAAGCGTTAACCAACTAATTATACAAACAACAAATTTATTGTTAAACAATAATCTATGCTAAATTCTGTTTTGCAATTTGTTTGATTTATGTTTTCATCGATGATATAAGTAAATTAATCAATCTGATACAAATTGATTCTCATTGTGCTGCTGCTGTGTGATCTCAAAAATTGATAACAATTATAATAATAATTAATTAATTATAAAAACACACATACATATACATAAATGCATACAATGTGTACTATAATTAACATGTGAGTTCAATTCAAGAAATTTAAATGCTTTATTTATTCCCATTTTGTTCCTTATATTATCTCTCTTTCTCTCCCTCTCTCACACACTCTCTGTCTCCTTTTCTCTCTCTGGTTTATTTACAATTAAATTCACAAGAAATATGCACACACCTACACACACTAGAATAATATTATATCTATAAGCCATATGCACACTAAAAAATCTTCTTTAATGTCACAATGACACCAGCTTAAAGTTTGAACTAAAGTGAAGTGCTAATGATACTAAAAACTTGTGATCAGCTTTTGTTGTATTGCCTGAATTTTTTCATAAAATAAACTGTAAGTTTGAAACTATGTTGTAATATAAAATTCCACTTGAAAGTTTTCTTAAGAGCAGCCAGCTGATTTTAGAAAGAAAAAAGTTAAAATTTGAATAACTAAAATAAACTTTTTTGTAAATTTCACCTTTTAAGCTATTATGATCTTGTAATATATTTTAAGGATTTTTTCTTAAACAACTAAAGCTAAAGATTTCCCAAAATAAATAACTGTATGCTTTAACATTAATTTGACAATATTTTGTTCCACTAATAGAAACAACAATATTTTTGTAAAGTTTTGGAAACAAACAACTTAAAAAAGTTTCAGCACTACTCCAAAAGTTTTTATATTTAAAAGTTAAATGTTTTTGTGAGCTTTTAATAGCTACTTAATATTCAACTCTGCACTTTTCATTTATTAGTATAACAAAGCTCTGCCCCGGCTTCACCATTAACATACTTTGTTAAATTAAAATCATTTTCATTTCAAGCCCGAGTATTACTTTGATCAACCGTTAAGCTTCAGAAAAATTACCTATTGCCAAATAGTATTTAGAGCACCTTTAAAATCCTTTACTTATAAATTAAAGTCTCAATTTAGTTTATCAGCTTAGCTGCTTTCAGCTAATTTTAGCTTTTTTTTAGATGCCCTATCAAGCTTTATCTAAAGCTCAATGTAGACTTTCAGCTGCTGTCATTGCGCCGCGCTCGCCACCTGTATTTGTCACAACTTCAGGCTAGCACCTATAGCACACACACTTAAAATACAATACACACACTTACCCACACACACACACACACAAACCTATTGCAACTATCTTCTAGCTCTATGTAATACGCTGAACTTTATCCCCCGTCTTATTGAAAAACTTTTTCAATATCTATCTCTCTCTGTCTCTCTCTCTGCTAGTTACACCGTTTATTGTTTACATTAATATTTATTGATATATTTCGTTTTACACAGACGGGCCTCATCCAGCTTTAAGCACAATACATCCTTTGTCGCCCGCTTGCCGACAATAAGGCGGCACAAGAGCCAGACCATACAGGCACCCGGTCCGGATGGTTCCAGTCTGTCCAAGCCGCCCGGCTCCTCGCGTGCCTCTACCAGGTACACGCGCACCATACGCGATATCAACGCATCTGTGGAGAATCTCGGTGAGTTGCGGCCACAAACCGTATTTCCTTCTCTTTCTCTTTCTTTCTTTCTCTTTTTTTTTTTTTTGCCAAATCATTTTTATTCGTTTTGCATTCACTGATGATGGCTGAGAGTTCGTGTTTGAAGATTTTGCCGTCAACAGTTGTTATGAAATAATTCCAATACAGTGAAACCTATTACCATTTCTGTTTGCACACATTCAAAAGACAAATACAAACATACACACACACACCAACGCATAACCCACAAAGAAAAACACATAAACAAAGAATAACAAGGTCTGATTTTTTATTTGTCTTGGCCCCAAATGCATGTTCTACTCGTACCCCCAATCTGTGCAAAAACCCCATACTCTATAACAAGATACACCCTCTCTATATATACACACACACCCACACCCACACCCACACTCACTCATATCAGATTCAGTCCATCTGCCTTTTGCTATTCTGCGCTGCTCATCGCACCAATAAAAACAATTTACACAAATGATAATCAAATATTTACTATTCACTGCAGGCAATTGCATTTCCATCAGCTTTTCGCTATCAAAAAATTTTGCATTTCGATTTAATTAACTGGGAACTGCGGGGCAACTGGGAATGCAGCAAACCTGTTTCTTTCTCTCTTTAATGCTTTTGCCATAAATTACAAAATAAATATTTAGCGTAATTTCTCTTTTGTGCCAAACTATTTTTAATATCAACTTTTAACGATATATATGTGTGTATATATTTTTTCCGGCCTAATTAATTTATATTCTTGAGTCTGATGTGAAAATGCTTTAATATAAAAACATTGAATTAATAAATCAATTTACTGCACCCTAAGGACTTAAAGCGCATTTCGTGCACGCTTCAAGCACTGAATATACAACGCTAAAGAGCTTAGTGAATTTATTTATGTTTTTAACACTTTAAAGAAAACTAAAAAATAAAAAAATTTCATACAAAATTAGATTCAAATAGTATATATAGTAAAAGTAAGGAAAAATATTATTTTTCGCCCATTTTTAACGAACTATGAATAGAAAAAAAAAGAAAAATTTCATAAAAAATAAAAATGACTAAATATAACTTTGATTATAAAAAGAAAAGCAGCTAAAAATAAATAATACACAAAATAAAATTAAAAAAAAAAAAATAATTATAAAATCAAATTAAATAAAATCAAAATTATACATCATATTTAATAATCTCTTATATATTTGATATTACATCCATCTTCAGCTCTACTGCATTATATTTTATATAAATATCTAAATTGCATATCTAAATGCTTAGAGAGCAAACGTCTTATGAATGCAAACAATTTGAAAGCAATAAATTTTACTTAATGAAAATAAACGACAATGAATCAACTATTAATATAGCAAAATGACAATTGTTATAGGAAATCAATTGGCATCCCATGGTTTTATTGAAAGATTGAAAGCGGCTGTAGATGAATTAAGCAAAAGAAAGCGAAGCAATTCCTATGTGCAGCTGCAGCCAGGAATTTATTAATTGCTCAATAAATAATTATTAATTAAGTTATGAATCATTTCGAATGACATAAGAAAATAAGCTGAGAGCTTGAGAAGCTGAAGATCGTATAGAATGAAGAGGAATTACTTTTTTTTTTTTTTAATAATTAAAGACAACCAAAAGCTAACTAAACTATTTACTTTATATTATCTAGGAATTATACTAACACATTTTAGGCATATCAACTAAATTTTGCTCGCATATAATTCCAATTGCTTGCTATACTCATCTCTAAAACACTAAATATCCTGCACATACAACACCGTTTCTGTAGATATATATATTTTCTCTTAGTGTATTTTTGTTGAATGTTTGCGCACCCGCCAAAAGAACTAAAAAAAAAATTAATAATAAAAAAAAAAATAATCGTAAGAAATTTTTTATATATCTTTTTAAGAATGTTAAAAGTTGAAATGTGAAAAAAAAAATTCCTTTGTAAGTTTTTGGTGTGTGTTGATTTGAAAACCCTTTTTTGTAACCGTAATGTGCGACCCATATAGACTACCGTGTCTCTGCATTGATTGATTAATTGATTGATTGAAACATTAATTTGAGTTGATTGGCACAAAAAAAAAAAAAACAAAATTCCAAAATTATTTAAAAAAAAAAAAAAACAACATAAAACTAAAATCCAAAAAAAAAACAACTTTAACATCTGGTTTGACATTTTCAGAGGTAGTACAAAATGGCAAATCCATGAATCCAAGTTTTAGCGAAGATTCAGTTGCTGAAACAACTTGCTTAAAAAATATAAAAAATTCAGACGGTAAGTCTACAAGGTCCTGCCCAGGTTCCAAAATACCAAATACCAAATACACCTGAGATATATATCTAAAAAAAAATTATATATTTTATATATATATAAATATATAACCCTATATTGAGTGTTGTGGTTGTGTCAATGTTGTGGTTGCATCTTAAATTGAATTTGAATTTGAGTTAATGTTCTTTTTGATTGGTTTTGTTATTTTGTTTTTATAAGAGAACAAAGAATTTAATAAGTGATTAAGGTCTGGAGGGTCCAAAACCAGCTGAAACTAATGCGCTTTCTCACACACACAAACACACACAAACACACACACACTAATACACTCAAACACCCACACACCTACACGCTGCAACAGCCAAGACCACGACCACGACCACGCCCACGCCCACGCCCAAGCCCGCACAGCTGGAAAATTGCATACGCAGCGCCAGTCTGGGCAATCTAGAGTCCAGCGCGGAGCCATCCAAGGCCGTTGCGGCCAGCTCCAATATGCTAACCATACCCGTTGTCCTTTGCGGCTTTCTGCACGGCGATTTCTTTGGCTCCACATTTTCGTTGCGCAATCCGCGCATCACGCCCACACAGGACCTGGAGGCGGGCCACATGAGCGCCGAGCCGTCGAAAACCAGCTTGAACGACACTCAGCATGCCAACAATCCGGCCAGTGCCAGCCCCAGCACAAGTCGCGGTCGTACGGGTCGTTTCTTTGCGGCCGCATCGCATATTCTGGCGCCGGGCAGCGAGCGGGCATTCAATGTGGCAAGTGCGTGAAAAAAAAAAAAAATAAAACCAGAACAACAACAACAGCTTGCAACTAGCCTAAGTTTCAGCTAGACTCGATATGCCCCTCCCGAAGGCAGTGTATATTATGTAAATGGCTAGGGTTTGGTTTAGCATGCGCTCTCGCTCTCTCTTTTGTCTCTTTCTCTCTCTATCGCTATCTCTTTAGACTCTGTCGTAGTAAATTAGTTCAAATGCATTTTGTTAGCCTCTTTGTAGTAGTATACGTATCATACATATATGTGTATATATATGTATATACCTAGGGAGTTATAGCCATTGCTGGACTCCCTCAACACCTTAACAACTCTGTTCGCTCACCTAACGCTACATGGCCACAGACACACACAACGCTTGCTTATCTCAAACGCTTTCTCCTAACCTAAAAACCCTCTCCAAAAAAAGAAATACCAAATACCAACAAGCATAAACACTTAAATACCCTATAATAATATTGTGATTTGATATAAATGTAACTAACCTAATATCTGTATACTTATTGTACGTTCTATATTAACTACTCTATATGCATATCTCTATATATACATATGTGTGTGTATAACGCTACTTGTATGTGTTAATTGTGTGTTGTTGGATTGACTTGATTAAATGTAAAACAAACAAACAAACAAAAAAAAAACAAATATATATGAAAACCAAACAAATAAATTGCCGCTTAAACATGCGCGCGAAGCAAGCAACCAAAACCTAACGCACAAGTCAATCTCTCTGATTCATAAATTGCCCCCAGATGAGGATGAGGAGCCGCGCTGCACGCAGCTAACAAATCGGCACAAGATCGCCATACGATTCATACGCAAGGTGTGTATACCCTATAATTCACATTGATATCTGATTTTCAACTCCAACTCCCTTTGGCAGCTCAAGTATTTTGTGGCGCGGCGCAAGTTTAAGGAAGCCTTGAAACCGTACGACGTCAAGGACGTTATGGAACAGTATGCGGCGGGTTAGCTCAGCTTATAATCTATTTAATTCTATATACTTATATATATGTAAATCACTCCTCAACTGTTTGCAGGTCATGTGGATCTATTGGGTCGCGTCAAAATGCTGCATTTGCGGTGCGTATACTTAATATACCATTTTTTAATTTTTTTTTTTTTTTTTTTTTTTTGGCAAAGTAGCCTAATTTTCATTTAAACTTAGATTACATCCACATAGGTTCCTCTATTATATTACATATATATTCAATTCAATTGAATTTCCCATAAATATTCCATATTCTCCTATTCCACAGTCTGGATCAGATCCTGGGCAAACAAGGCTCCAAGGCCAAGGATGTCTATGCTTCAAAAATCAGCTTAGCCTCGCGTGTGGTCAAAGTCGAGCGACAGGTAAAAAGAAACTCTAAAAATAGCTGAACTCTTACATTTCACAACAATCCATTCCCATTCCAGGTCGTGGACATTGAGGAGAAACTCGATATATTGATCAAGGCCTATATGGAGGATCGTGATAGATTCTTAGCGCTTCCGTTGCCAGCCAATCCCAAACCCAAAATACATTCCATTAGCCCTAGTCACAGTCACAGCTTGTCACATCACACACACAATCAGAACATGATCGATGTATGGAAGCGAACGGCAACGCTGAGCGTACATCCCGAGCTGGTGACGACGCCGACTGGCAGTTCGGATGCCTCCGCTCTCGATCATCTCGATGGCAATGAGACGGCGCTCACCTCCACACAGACGCTGACAACCACTACAGATGCAATTGCCACACAAACACCCATGCCGCATACACAGCATACAGCGACCAATACAAAGGTATGTCATAGCTCTCTCCATTCGTCAGATTCGCAAAGATCTATAGACATATAATTCTAGTCTTCCGTGCTTAACTCATATCAGCTACCGCCTGAGCAGCAACAGCACAATGATGTATTTATGACTGATTTAGAGAATAGAACTAAAAAACGCGTTACTTTAAGGTGAGTGGAAGAGAACATTTCTGGGTCATCGAATTTTAAATGCTCCTGCAGATGATACGACGATTAGATTAATAATAATTTAGTATAATATACAGTATAATATATTAAAAATAATTATATAAAAATACTCCATGAAGAAACATTTAAATACATTAAAAACTATATCTAAAATATTATGTAAGACTTATAAAAACAATCGAATCTCTACAAGAGCATTTAAAAACAATTTTAAAATCTAAAACAAAAATATTTGAACAAGAGTAATTATTAACTAGCCTGCATAGATCCACATCGGAGCCATATAGCAAACACGAGCAGCGCATCAATATGCCAGATGAGGGCGCACAATCTTTGGATTCCAGTGCGAAGCCAACGCCGCCAGATAGTTCAAGTAAGCCAGGCCGTGCCTGAACTATGAGCCACAAATTTGCCATCAAAACAAATAAACACCAAAGAATCATTTCTACTTTCCCACATTTCTTCGTTTTTTTTTTTTTTTTATTCAATAAAGCATCATATCATTTGATAACTTCTAAACAGAAACTTTTATTTTTAGAGACAAAAACTGAAACCAATTTCTTAATATCATCCAACAAATTTTCAAAATTTTCCAAAAGAAAACATTGTAAATCTATAATATGTATATATCTTTAGTTATACTCATTGATGAGTATGAGGACTTCGAGGAGGAGGATCTAAATTGTGAGGGCGAAATGGAACATTTTCCATCGTGGGAAATCGATAGCGACATTGGCGCCGATGTCGATGTCGATGCGGATGGTGACTGTGATGAGTCCACTGAGGACACGGCGCTCCTACAGTGCGCCACGCGCACCGCCATTGTTATAACACCCATTAGCCCAGTGAGTAACGAGATGAGAAATCAAATCTATATAAATCTGTAATTAACCTTTGCCCACCCTCTTCCAGGTAAGCTCAGCACTTAATCTACAAAGTTTAAATGACCAAACTACAACGCTTAATAAATCAAATTTGCTTCCGCCAGATTCTGGCTAGTTAAAAATGCAATTGAAATTAGTCGATATGTAATATCTATATATATATACCCTATATATATATATATATAATAAATGCTTATTGTTAAGATCGTCTGCTGCTCCAAAGGGCAGCGGCGCTGTACCAACTTCTAGAGTATCATAACAGGAATCAAAAGAAAAAGAAAAAAAACCAAAACCAAAAAAAAAAAAAAAAAACATTTACATTCACACACAAATTTAATTTTATTTTATTTATTCGATAAAGAAGAACAAAGTTGTAATGACCAAAACTGCAAAACGCTTTAATAAATCAAATTTGCTGCCGTAAATGTACATACATAATATGATATATATATAAATATAACAAGACTCGCAGATACCCTGTAAAATGACATTTTAGCCACACATCAGTTTCTTGTTTGTTTTTTTTTTCTTAATTAGTTTTTAAAAGTTTGTAGAATTTATTATGAGCTTGAGCTGTGTAGGGTATAGAAAAGCGTCTGCATACCAAAACATTTTCAATAAACTCTAGCTTACTGCGATAAAAGTGTTCAAAATGAGATGAGAGATGCAAGCGAAAAAGAAGAATAAGAGAAATTTAGATATACCTATATCTGAGAGACCCAATGAAAAACCGAAAGAATGCCTGAACATGGTATGAAATAAGAAGTGAAGAAATCAGGCATGTAAATAATAGTGGAAAGTAGCGACAGATCGTGAATGAAATGCGTGCGAATGAATGAGAAAAGAGAAGCGTGATTGAAGAATCGAAAATACAAAGCTAGTTATCTAATATTACAATATTGCATACACGTGCATGTGTATGTGTCCATTTTACTGACATAATTTGTGTTCAAAATTAAGAAACGACACAACTTAAATCAATTGATAAATCAAAAGTTTAACAACTGCTTTAGCGAATAATAATAACAAAAGAATAAAGAAAGAAAAAAAAAAAAACAAAGCAAACAATCAAATCATATCGCATTGTGTACTGATTCTTATTCCATTATTTATGTAGTCTTCTATTATTTTTGCCTCTGCCTCTTATTCGACTTGGGCTCGTGCAACTCCTCAAACATCTCCGTTTCCTTATTCTCCATTGAGTTGCCAATAAACTCGATTTGCGTATTCGCATTGATGCGTATGCAGCGTTTCTTCGATGAGGACGGACCGTCGCTGTTTACTTCCTTCTGCTCCTCCTCCTGATCCTGCTCCTGCTCCTCCTCTTGTTCCTGCTCCTGCTCCTGCTCTTGCTCCTCCAGCTCATCTAGTTCATCGCCTTTCACTGTGTCATCTTCTACGTAAATGCTGCCATTGTGCGCTTTACGCACATGCAATTTCAATTGCGTCGTCGAGCTGAAAGATTTGCTGCATCCACTATCGAAGAAGTCGTGACACGTATAGCGTGAGCCATGCACACGCTGCATGTGATTCGATAGGCCCTGGCGACGTCCGAACCGCTTGTTGCACGCCTTGCACTCGAAGGCGAACCGCTTGAAGTGCTGGCCCAGCACATGCACCGACAGCGACTTCTTGTTTCGCGTGACGAAGCTGCACTGGTCGCAGCTATACGATTGGTTATGCAGCTGCGGATGGGAATAGGCGTGGCGGTTAATAGTCTGGTAAGTGTTCGAAAAGGGGCTTCCCTTTATGGAACTCCATTTCGGAACTCCATTAAATGTTGACTGCACTCTGGCTCTCCTGTCAGCTGCTCCATTATTATTATTATTTGTTTTTGACTCTAACTTCTGCAGCTCCTTGAAAATTATGGTGTGCTGCTCCATTAAAAGGTGACTATCCTTGCCCTCTATTCCCGACTGCTGCATTTAATTTAGCTGATTTTATGTATTTCGCTTTTATTAACTGCTTTTCGTGATTTTGCATTGATGGATAGTTAATCCATGACCAGAACTCCCTAACATGATCGAAACAATTGAGAAGCCCTTTTGGACACTAAGGAAAGTGAAATATGCTTAATGTAGTACAAAATGCGAGCCGCATTATCCCCTTTCTCATCCTGAAGAGAGATCCCGAGAACCTGTCTTAAAGAGGCTCAGCCTCTGACAATATTGAACTTTATAATACAGCTATAATTATTATAAATTAATCAAAGTTAGCATCTTATAGAAGCTCTTGGCTTTATCATCCAAACACCAGAGCCGGATAAATTAAAAAAATCATTGCCAACAAACTAAATACAATCCTCAAGCATGCCCCAAATTGCCGATCAAATTCCCTCTCATTTCATATACAGTCGAGTTTCGATAATTTGTACCCCGGTAAATCGAAAATCGCGATAAATCGAAACAAAAATTCGATCCCCTTGAAAGAAATTCGTTCTTAATAATTCTGGATAATTTAAATTTCTGTGCCTTGCCACTTCGAATTATCGGGTTTCTACTGTATATTCTTAGATTATAGATAAATCAAAGTCCATAAAATTCAATTCGATTGACTCACCCGCTGATGCGCCTCCATTTCACTTTTATGATAGAAGCCCTTCTGGCAGACGCTGCACGAGTAGCGTTTGTTATTCGAATGCACCACATTCATGTGTGTATCGTAATTGCGGCGATTTTTAACCACTTTCAAGCACAAACTGCATTCCATGGGCTCATGCCAATAGGCGTGATGTTTAGTCAGGGCATCGTTATCCTTATAGGAGGCCTTGCATAGGGGGCATACGACATTATCTAAAAATGATCAATAAATTAGCAAGAGCTTCAAATGGAATAGCGAGCACATACTATTATTATGACTACGCGCCACATGCACCGATAGCGACATTTTGGAACGATATTGCTTCTGGCAGAACTGGCAGATCCATTCGTTTTCCTTGACCAGCGGCTCGTTTCTCGCGATGGCATCGTGCGAACGTCGCTTGTGTGTGTACAGTGAGTTCCAGTTAATGTAGGCCTCAGCGCAATCCTGCAGTAATATGCATTAAATGATAATAGATAAAGCAATATGAAATATTCCCAGGTCCCACCTCATAATCGCACATATAGTAGAGACATATCTCTAGCTTGCGATGCGATACATCTGAGCGCTGCTGCTGAAAGTTGCGCAAATGATGACGATAGAGTTTCATGTCGGCAAAGGCCTTGTCACACGGATGGCATATGAAGAATCCGTCCTTATGCACCCCCGAGTCGCGATGGGCACGCAAATCGCTCTTCTGCTTAAAGTATGCCGAGCAATATTCACACACATAGGCATTGCGTAAAAGTTCCGCATAGGTCTCCAAGCCAAAGCAGGCCGAGTCCTCCGCCTCCACATGAGCCTGTCAAGCAGTTCAATATACATGATTAGCTGTTGTAATAGATATTTATAGCTGAGCTTACCTGCAGCTTCGCTTTACTATCGCTGAGCAGTCCACAGCCGCTGCACACGTGCACCTGACGCTCGATGATCAAATGCGTCTTCATATGCAGATTGTAGGTCGCCTCTGTGGCAAACTCGCGGCTGCACAACTCGCAGCTGATGACGCTGCCATGAACGGAGCGCTAAAGGCAGAAAATTGAAATGAAATTAGTAATAATAAATAATTACATATACAGCGTATAGCTGTTGCACCCACCAGATGACCGTTGAGACGACCCCGTGTCTCAAAGTTGGCGCTGCACTCCGAGCAGCTGTAGGTGGTGCTGCTGACATTCGCATGCGATTTGTTGTGCTCCATAAAGACGGCAGCGTCACGAAAGTTGCGATCACAGCTGAAACAATAAACATATATATAAGCAAGCAATAAAATCAAATGTAGTCCAAGCCTTACAGATCACAAAAGAGTGTGCCCTCCGGCTCGTGCGCATAATACAAATGACGGAAGAGCTCATCGATGTTGTTGTCTGCAAAATCGCAAACGAAACAAGCGCGCGGCCTGTGACGCTCCAAGTGAAATTGATTGTGGAAATTAAAGCTGCAAGGCAAGCAAAATTATTTAGCAAAGACTGAAGAGTAAGAGGACCCATACGTACCGCTTCCACGAAGGAAACTCCAGGCCACACATCTCACAGTATAAGCGCATGCCGCGACGCTTTTTAATGACATGTGCGCAAGAGTGTTTATTATATTGCAATATATTGGAGAAGGTCATATTACACTCGGGACACTTGCCATAGATGGGTATTCTAAAGAGAGAGAGAGAGAGAGAGAGAGAATCAATCAATAAATGTATTAAATTTTGCATTTTCAAGCTATTGACTTACTCTGCCACAGGTGCGTGCAGCACCACCAGATGCATGGCCAAATATTTGCGTCCTTGCAGCTCCGCCGTGCAGCCTTCAATGGGACAACTGTAGCGCTCATTGGCCAACTGATGGCATTTCTGCATGTGACTGAGCAGAGTTTCATATTTGCTGCATTTCAGCGAACAATGACGGCAGACAGTGGCCCAATTGAACTGCAAAGTCTCAAAGCAGGTCTTGACCACGGTCGATAGATATTCATGCAGATCGCCAATGTTGTCAGCTGGGAATGGAAAGTTGACTAATTAGACGGGTTCTTTATACGGCCTTAGAGTGCTTACATTCTTTAATAAGTACAAAATTAAAGGGCTCCACTTTAAATGATTCATCCTCGCTTTGACTTTCATTTTGTGACTGCGATTGGGACAAGGATTGGGAAGCAGCGCGTTTGACCTTGCGCTCTACTTTGAAATGACGCACGTCCGCATCGGAGGAGTTATCTGCAAGGGAAGAGGATTAATTAATATGAATATGGATAGTTATATATATATGAGTGAAGCCTGGGCCATCCTCAACTCACCATCTTGCTCTAGCAGAAACTCCAGCTCATCATTGTTATCCTCTTCCTCCAGCTGTCCCAGCTGCTCTTCCACTGTCTCCTGCTGTATCTGCTTTTTGTCAGTTTGCTTTTCCAGCTGCCGCACTGAGGCTGCTGCATCGGCAAATTTATCATCGGCCGGCGGCTCCTCATCATCCAGAATGTCACGTATGAGCGCGCTGATTTGCTCCTGATCTGCCGCGCCATGACTTTTCGCCTTGGCTGTGGCATTTCGTGTAACTACCTCCTTGGCCTTATCGGGTAAACGTTTGGGCAGAACTGTTAAGGCTTTATTAGAGGCTTTTGCTGCAGTTGTAGCCACGGCAGTGGTAACAACTGTTTCGGGTTTTGGCAAATTTTTGACTGGAGACGCGACGCTCTTTGTCTTTGGTGACGTCGGCGTCGCCTTTTTAGCGGATTTCTCTACCTTTTTAGCAGTACTAGGTAGATCATCCAGCGACTTGGCAGCCTTTTTGGCTGCATTAGCGGCATCCTGCTGCCGCTGCAGCTCGTCTATGTCAAAGAAGCGTATTAGCGTATTTACACATTCTTGGCACAGCAATTGCGATTTGTGAGCATCGGGTTTGACAACGATTTGGAAATACTTTGCCAAAAGATCAGCGAGCTCAATTTCGATGCCCACTTCATCGAAAATTTCTTGATATTTCTGCTTTGAACTGTGCACACTGCAATGCAGGCAGCTAGGTCCATTTTCGTTGTTTACTTTCGGATTTTCCGACATTTTAACTTTTCACACATAGCAATCCCCACGCGAAACGCTAAAAACGAGCGTCAGCTCAACGATATGAAAATGCTTAGTGCTGCAAAACGATTGCCAAACTATCGGAACTATCGCATCCAAATTGAGTAAAACGGCATTTTTTAGTGCATTTATTGTGCTGCTACAAAAACGTGCTAAAAATGAACTTAAAAACTAAAGTAGCAATGAATATCAATAGTAGCGTCAACTTATCGCTTATCGATAAGCGTTTAAAATTCAAAGATTGGCGGCAAATTTAACTGTTCACACGCTTGAGCAAAGCGAAATAGCTGTAGGAGCAGTTCACAATCTGCAAAGAGAAAATAAATGTATGTAATATAGTTACTTATAAGTTCGACTACTCGTACGGATGAAAAAGTAGTAGAATTGAAGCACTGAGAGTGATTCAATGTATGCATATGCAGCGGCTTACTAAAACGCAACATCATTATCAAAGCCAATTTCCGATTACTCTTGTTCCAAGAGGTCCAATCGGAGCTATATAGTGAATGAGATAGTATTGCACTCTGATAGCTCATCTCATCGGCCGAATAGCAAATAATGAAGATTTGCAGCAACATAACAAATTGATACGATGCCATCATGATCATAAACGCAGTTTCCTTCGTCCTAATCGAAATGGCATAGAAATTGGAGACGAGCACTAAAACGGAGCAGAGCATCTGCACCGAGCCAGGCACCTTAATGAAGCCATCGATGAGATCCTTTAGCTGAAAAATGCGAGCATAGTGAATGCAACAGCTGCGCAATTCCCGACTTATTCTCAGATTATCCTCGTCTGTTACGGCCGCGCCCAAGTTCTCCAGATGGGAGGCCAACATGGCCAGTTGCGTCTCCAGAAAGTAGAGCAACGAAGAAGCGATCGAGTCAAAGGCAATGTTCAGCCAGCAGGTGGGCATCAGCGACATCACCTGATAGAAATAGAGGCCATAGTAGCAGCCGGAGCTGAGCAGATTGCACGGCTCGTACATGGACAGGGGCAGGGCATTGTTGTCGACGAACCATTGCATAACCAGGATCAGGCTGGCAGCCAACAGCGATGTGTAGGCATAGAAATTGCGCCATTTGATGGAACGCTCTGCGCCGTTGCGAAATATCAACGCCTCCTTCTTGGAGCCAGGGCGAAAGCACGACGAATGCATTGCCTCAATGAGCCGGGCATGTTGACGATTCCTCAGCTTAATGCTCAGCAACTTGGACATGCACGACACCTCGGTGGCAAACATGAAGAATACTTCCAGAATGACATTCAATTGGTCGATGTTGGCCAGCACACGTATCGCAAAGAAGAGCAACATGATGGCCACAATGCTGAGGATGAGGCAAAAGCGCAGTTGATGCAACCAGCGCTGGCAGCGTGTGGCATGCCTCGGCACTTGCCACACGCCCAGAAAAATGAAATACCATACTTGATATTTATAAAAAATTGACGTGATTTCATGATGTTCCGACATTACTTTGCAGGCCATAATGAAGAACTTTGGCCATAATTCCAGCTGCAGGCCCTTTATAAAGGCTCGCCGAGTCAAGGACATTTCAGCTAATGAGCTTTAATGAGCCGCTCATTATATGCCATAATTCACACTGAAACAAATCGTAGTGCTTACCGAACTAAAGAGCATCAGGTCGAAGGAGTGACTGCTATTCAATGTTTTGATTCGCAGGGGCAAGTCCAGACGCAGCATCAGCATCAGCAGCAGCCGCTGGTTCGTGCGATGAGCGCCAACCCAATTGGATTTGTACAGGTCATGGGGCAGGCCATAACTGCGCTCGGTAATCTCACTAAATCGTATAAAATATATAATATATATCTATATCTGTAGTTGGTATAATAGCTAATTAACTTACCCCGCAAAGTAGCAGATTATAAAGATCTGTAAGAGCATGCAGCTCTGATAGATGAACATCTTGAGTAGCAATAGTGTCTCGCCAGTTGACTGTTTAAATATATATATATATATATATATATATATATATATATATATATATATATATATATATATATATATAAAATAATCAAATTTAAATTAAAAAAAAAAAATACAAAATAAAAATCTAAAATATAAGAAACTTAAAAATTTATACTTAGTCTATTTACTATTAAATAGCAATATTTTTAATATTATATATTTATTATTTATTTTATATTATATATTAAGCATAACAAAACGTGCTTAAAAATGATTGAAAAATAAATAAAAAACAATGATTGTTCATGTATTTCAATAATTTCTTGTAAAATTTCATGACGATTATTTTTTTTTCATTAATTTTAATAATATGTATAAAATTAATATTATTATATTTTTTAAATATGCATTTTTTATTTTATTTATTAAATATTTTTATTCATAATACCTCTATTTATTTTGTATTAATATTATTATTTTTTTATTTCGATTTTACTAATTTTATATGTTAGCCAATAATCTTAAGTCGTTCATAAAAAAAAAACAATTAATATCTAACAAAAAAAATTGTCTTATTATATATATATAAATATTATAAAAATATAGCACTTGTATAATAAGAAAAATGCATACAATTTTTATAATTTTAAGAACCATAAGATATATAAAAACAAAAAGTTTCGCATTGTAAAATTTCCAAACAAAATTCCAAATATTTAATTTGTATATTTTTTTATGTTTCGCCCTCTCTTAACTCACCTGTGACATGGAATAGAAATTGGCGGTCAAGACAAGCACAGAGCAAAATATCTGTACCGAAATGGGCTTATAGACAATGGCCTCGATATCGGAAGTTAGCTCAATGATTCTCTTGTGATAATGAATGCAGTGCTTCAGCTGCTGCAACATTTCAGCATCAGTTGCCACCTCTGAGTTGAGACTCTTTCCAATCGATTGCAGACGCAAGGCAAAGATGTCCAATTGGCAACGGATAAATATGAATATGGAGCAGCACAGCGAATCGAAGGCGATGTTTATAAAGCAGGCCGAGGACAGAGCGCAACAATGATTAACATACATAAAGCAGAAGCCAAACGAGCCGCGCTCCCCTTGAAAGGGATCATAGGTGTCCAAAGGCAGTTGGGTATTATCGATGATACATTGAGTTAGGAGCAAGGTTGTCAGAGCGCAGACCGAGACGGCGCCATAGGAATTGCGCGTTGTGTGACTGAGCTGACGGGCGTTGAGAAAGATGCGTTGCTCCTCGAGGCTGAGGGGCTTAAATTCTGCATCATGCATATGAGCAAAGAGTCGTTCTAGGTCTAGAATATTGAACTTAAGCGACAATATCTACGATTTGTTTTTTACAGAGTATTAGATATTATTAATGAGTATATAGTAGAACACTTCACCTTCAGTGAGCAGGCAGAGCAGGTGGCCAGCAGAAAGAAGCCTTTGATCACCTCATTCATGTCGCCAATATTAATCACAATATACATCAGCAACAGCAGATTGAGCATCATTAAAAAGAAACCAAAAATTATAATGAAATTTACGTTATGCAGCCAGCGTTTCCAGGGTAGCTGCTGCGGATATAGCGAATAACATTGCATAATACGCTTCTGCACCGAATAGAACGAGTTTACTGAACTATCGAAATTTAACTGCATTTTATGGAACACTTATTCAACAACTATTGCAGCGCCCGAGATGGGCTGAGCCTTATAAAGGCATTTGATAAACAATTAAAAACGCATTAATGGCTGCTAATTGGTGGCAAACATTTAGTGAAAAAAAAAATAATTCAAATATTGATTAAATAAAATAAAATATGCATATGCATTTTTAATATAAAAAAAATAAATAAAAATTGAATAAATTAATATTTAACAAAATAATATTTATCACACAAATATTTATTTAACTATCATCGTATCAGAATATAGTTTTTATAGAAGAAATATATAAATATAATTATGATGATTTTCTATAGAATTATATATCCTTTCTTGCATTTTATATATATTTATAATTATTTTTTAATTTACAATTTTTTAATTAATATTTTTTTTAAGTGTATACATTTTTTTAATTTATTTTTTATTTTTTCAAGCAAGCTATTACTTAATTTATTTTATTTTATTTTATTTTTTTTATTCAAACTTATTATGTTAAGTTTTTTATATTATAATTTTTGTTGTCATGCTGTTCAATTTCATAATTATATTTTATTTATATAATTAATTTTCAAATAATTTAAATTTAAAAAAATACTTTTTTTTTATAAAATATTTGTTAGTATTTTTTAATTAATAATTTACATTCATGTATTTTTTTTTTTTTTTTTTAATTTGTACTTTATAAAAAACAAGCTTTTTTATTGTCCTTGCGTTTCATTTCTTAATAATATTATTTTTAAACTTATAATATATATTGTATTTATTTGTAGGCCATTTTCAAGTCTACTTTTTTGAGCAGTGCTTGCTCGCTAATCGTTTACTGTTGTCTAATAAGCTCAGGACCGTTAAGTAAATATACTAAATAATTTACAAACGCATTTCCAATGGACTCTAATAAGGCTTAAACGATTTGAATCGCAAATTTTAAATGAAGTTTAAGGCCTAGCCGTGAGTCTAAGATAAATAAATGTTGCAGAAATTTAAGAGGTGGAATTTGGTAAGAAAATTATGTTAAAGGGTATAATAATAAATAAATGTAAATTGAACTCACCTCAGTAGGGGAAATTCGTTGGATTGCAGCAATAGATGAAACCAGCATTTGGATCGTCAGGCAGACTGAAAGGACATGCGACAGATTGACAGGTGGATAGAAGTAATGGACGCTGTCGCTCGAATATGTTGTTATAGGAGAGAAAGGCATAGAGTCCATTGCCCTGAATATCTCGCACCACCTTATAGATCCACTTGGGCACTGGCAGCTTGGAGTCGGCCAAGCAGGCGCTGCGCTCGTTGCCATTTTCATCCTGCAGCCTGAGGATATCGATGCCGCCAGTCCGAATACGAAATGGCTGCTGGGCGGTCACCTGACCGCGTAGCCAACGCTCAATTTTTTCCCAATTGCCATCGTTGATGCTCTTGAACTGCGGCACCACATTGATGTAGCGAAAGGTGCTGGCCATCTGATCACAAAAGAGAAAATCGGCCGAGGGCACCAAATGGCCGCGATTGATGACCAAATCTCTGGCGCTGGGCAAATACCGTTGATTCTTGCCAAACACAAGTTGAAATTCGTCGTACATCCGATGCTTCATATAGGCAGCTGCCTCAAGGGGCTTCACTATCTGATCCGTATCGAAGTCCACCCAGGGTCGTTTGGCAACTAATAATATAGATATGTAGATCACATACACATACTCTACATACCGTATGCTATACTCTACTCTAACTATGCCCTACATATTCTATATCAACTACTCTACTACTGCTCTACTTATGGAGTTTATCTTATTTTAAAACAATTTAGCTAATGCCTTACAGTAGCTCTTAAAGTAGACATCGCTCTGGGAGTACAGAGCACGTCCATTCTGCCCATCGTAGCAGGCGCGATAGAGCTCCAGTTGATGTCCTTCCAACATATAGCCCACTATGTACAATGTTTGAGGGCAGTCAGAGTTGCGTCCTTCTCGCATTACGCTCGTCTTCATGGGCGAGCTGCAGCTCATGGGCAAGGCCACCGTAAAGTGGCCATTATCCTGGCATTCGGTCTCCAGCACATCCTTCTCATTGCACACCATATAAAGCTTCAGTCCACTGGGCACCGGCTCTGCGCGCAACAGCTGGAGGGCTCCTCTGTCATCACGATAAGTGAATATGCGATTCGTATTCTCCACCATTTCTTTGCTTATTTGGCAATCGGTCTGAACGCCTGTTTCAACGATTCATACAATTTAAACTACTATAAATATCATCTATATAGCTTTGATTTACCCATCACAGCAAACAATAGCATTAATATTCCTGCCAAGTATTTCATGTCTAAAAATTTGGTTAACACATCTAAAAGCGATTTTAATTTAATTTTTTCACAGCACTAAAAACATAAATTTTGAGTACTTCCCCAGGCCAAAAGGCTTACCAGAGTACTATAAAGTTGATATTAAATCGATAACATCTCTGTTAGCATTGAGCTTAGCAGCTCTCCTAGCTTTTTTTTTGATCGAACCTAGAAGAGATCCGAGCAAATACGAAATTCAATGCGCATTCGATGATGAAATGCTGACAAAGTTAATGAAGGAGACTCTATCATGTATATGTTATCAGTATATTAATGTCGTTAGCAGCCATGTCTCGTATAAGGTCCCATTCCTAGTATACCCTGAATTCATAAACTATAAACCATATACCATAATCTTCTATTCCTAGTTTTGTGACCTACTATCAGCTGTAAGAACTTGTTACCCAAACCATATTTGTACCATTAATCCAACCATAACCATTTGTATTAATATTTTGAATACATATATAAAAAAATATATATATCAATTTCGCATTATTGACAGTAAAAACCCAAATAAAAATTCAATTAGATCATTAAAAATTATTTTTTTTTGACAGTCCACTCTTGGATAACTCTTTATTGCTTTTTATCACATACAATGGATAAAATTTGTTAAAACAATAGATCTTGTTTGGTTGTTAGCTGATTTCAATTATCCAACATTTTTTGCTCCAATGCTCGATTTTGTGGTACTGTACTTTCAATTAATTAATTATATAGGTGTCTGTGTGTAATAATTTGCTGATTTTTTTTATCGTTTTTTTTTTTTCTTTTATAATATTTTTTTTGTGATTTTTTATTTTGTTTCTACTTTAACTTTTTCATATTTATATGTATATATCTTCTTGCTGTATGTGATATATGGTGTATACATATATATAAAGGTTTAAAGAATAAAATAATAAAGCTTACAACTTAAAACATGCAGCATAAGAAAAGAAAATATTTGAAACGAAATCAAATGCAAATTTAAAATGAAATATTCTTGCAATTTTTGTTTTTAATTTTGTCGGATCAAATGGGAACGCAAGCAGGGATAAGAATAGAAACTCTTAAAGAAAATGTGGCTACTTGTTCAAAATTGCTGCGCGAAATCTCATACAAATTGAAACTTATATAGAAATAGGAGCATACATAGATATTTGTATGTATGGCCCTGTGTGTGTATGTGTGTGTGAAAAAGAACTGTAATATGCGTGTGTATTATTCATAACATTTGTTTGATATAGCTCGATTTAAATGCTAAATAACTGTACTTTTCTTTATCATGGTTAATCTGTTTGTACCAGGCAACAATAGAATTTCTACAACTAGTTCTGAAGCTTCACTAGACAATTTTGGTTTAATTATTATCCTGCTTATTGATCAGCTTCAATATAACCTTGCCGCCCTGCACATCCAGGGCATAGAGACTGCCGTCCTTCACCTCATTGTTGAGCACCTCATCGCTGACGCTGACAAGTATGCCCGATGGCCCCGATATGTAGACGCTGCTCTTGTTCGCCTCGTTGAAGATGTTCGAGCCGCTGCCCGAATATTTCGAATGCATGCCCCAATTGTTGCATAGAGCGGCAGCAGCCGCCGCCGCCGCTGCTGCTGAGGCAGCTGACACATTGCCACCATTCTCCAAGAGGCCTGACGAGCCGCCCTTGGCCATGAACTCATAGAAGCCGGGCAGCTTATAGATCTTCTGCTGCAGCTCCTTGGCGGTATTAGAGAGCAAGTAAATGGCATTGTAGCTGCAGCCATCCATGCTGGCATAGAGCGTCAGACGAGGCGAAATGGATCTGCGAGAGATAGAAGAAATGTTAGTAAAAGCTTGGAATAATTCAAATGATAATAGCGAAATAGATGTGGATTGTATATTGGATTAATCTGGTAGTGGATTAGAATAGAGAGATTGAAGATTTAATTGAGAGTCTTTTAGGCAAGGCAAGAACTAGCATAGACAGCTTGGCATCTTCCATAAATACTCTTCCCTATCACAGATTAATCCAATTGCTTTTCAGCTAGTATCATTGCATTTTGTTAGCTTAACATACTTGGCGCGCAATATATTAAACATGCGTATGCCGTCGGCGAGTCCACAGATTTGTATTAGATCCTCTTTGGACATGCTAAATATAGAAAGAGAGAGTACAAATATGTTAGAGAATTAGCCTGTATATTATAAAAGAGCTAAAAAGCTCGCTTGCTCTCTCACCGCATAATATCCGCCCCAGAGAAATGGGTAAAGGTGTTGAGGTAGGCCGTCAGACGATGATGCGTGAGCCATTGTGTGACTTGTGCGGGCGTTGATTCTGGCATTATATTCTGATTCTATATAAGAGAAAACAACAAATTAGATTACGCATCAGGTATATATATGTATATATATTGCATACATAATCATCCATATCCGCTGGCACATGCTGTGGCGACACCATGTTTGTGGCATCCATCAGTTTCAATGTTGGCGAATTTGTGGATGTCACCGAATTGATAGCAATTGGGCTGCTGCTGGCCGCCGGTGATGCGCTGCTGGCAAATGGCAGCATTCCATCATATTTTGGTATATGAACCGGCGAATTTGGCCACAATTTCATACTGTAAATAGACAGCAAAAAAGAAGAAATATAATATTATAAATTGCAAAAGTTTGAACTATATTTTAAAATATACAAATGCAATGCTGTTGTTGCTGTGCGTTTTGAGAGAGACGGGCGTGATCCTTCAGAGACAAGCGCATGTTCACGAATGCCAGACAGCAGATACACAGATTTTACAGATACATAAACTTATCATGCAGCCATATACCAGTTTTCTCTCTCTCATTCTCCCTCTCTCTCTCTCTGTGTGTCTCTCCCTCTGTCTGCCTCTCTATCAGTACAGTTTATGCTCTGGCAGTCTTGGCCTGTTTTTTATTACTTTTTCTTATATATACCATTTTATATACATATATATTCATATGTCTTAACTACCTTGACATCTGATACGCTTTGTGGTGGCTGATTAAACCCCATAATATTCTGCTTATTCAACCAGCATTTTCATACACTTTATGGCCTTCAGCTTTTTAGCTATGCCGAATTTGGCAGCAGCTGCAGAAAAAATGCTTTCAGTTGACCCATTCAATTAGCATGGGAACCCAACTATTTTCATCATATTCGTTGTTGTTTTTGTTTCTTAACTTATAAACATTATAAAGACTCTCAAGCAAGTGGCGCATAAGAGCGATAATTAATTGAATGAAAAACATTTTTTAGTAAACACGTGGCAAAAGCAATAAACCAGACTGGACAACTTAACAATGCCCTATAATAAATTAATTTGTATATAATATTTCAAAGTGTATTAAAAACTTTTTCATATATATCTAAATAAATTAATTTAATTATTTGAAATATTTTTAATATTTTTAAAATTTTTTTTTACATTTAAAATTTAATATTTTTATGTATCGAATATATGTATGTATTTATTAAAAAGTATATTTTTAAATATTTACCATACATCAAAACACTTTTTCAATACAATTACTATATTTTAACTCAAATTCTACCATTATTTGTATTTTTTAATTTTTCCACATTTTTTCTAGAAATATTTGTTAACTCAAAATATTTTATAAATATATAACTTGCTCTGCAAGCTTATCTACCTTTCGCTTGTAGCCATGTACAGGGTATTACAACCGGTTGGTAGCTATATATAATTTCTTCACCATATATAAACGCAAATACTTGTCATTTAATTAATGATCCATGCAAAAACAAGACCGGTTCGGAGCAATGTAAGTCGCAATTATTTATTACAGAGAATCCGAAAAGATCATGAGTAAATCTCTTTATAAAGCTCTTAGTTCAATCGATAGGAGATAGAAAGAGCGAGACAGTGAGAGCGTAATGCAAAGTTAAATACAAAATCACAATAAAAACAAAGCCGTTTCCGGCTAAAAAGAAAAAAATTCCCATTCAAATTGATTCGCATTCCTAAAACAACAAAAGGCAAACTCGATTATAAAAACAAACAAACAAACAAATAAGCGAAATTTTGATTGAAGTACAAAATATTGAACAAAAAATTCCCATAGGTGCTGAGCACTCATTGAACTGAGTAAACAAATCGTGTATGAATCTAATACATGTAAATATAAATACATATGTATATATTACTTGAGCTTGGGACGGTTCTATGCAAATAAGGCTTCAATATAAACAACGCAAAAAAACTAGACTATTTAGTATTTAGCTTTAAACTAGTTATTCATAGCCCAAAGCATCATAAATCAAAAGTTTTATCATTGGGCTGTGACACCCATAAACAATAAACTAAGTAGAGAACCTAAATATTTTGTATAATATGTGATATATATATAATGATATAATGTTATATATTTTACAGAAATAGAACAAAAAGAGCGTGAATTGATTGTTTGAGCTGGATTTGGACTGATTGAGCTGAAGAACAGCAAGATAAATAAAAAATACATATAAAATATTCCTATATTTTCTAAATAAACAAAAATTATAAAATATATAAAAATATTATGCAATATATTATATATTTTTTAATATAGAAAATAGAGAATAAAACTTTTTAAAGAAATATTTTAAATATATATTAAAAATAAGTATTTCATTATGTAAATATATATTTTGTTAAATTTAACATAAAATATTTCTATTTAATAAATAACAATAACACAAAAAAAAAAATTATAAAAACAAATAGAATGTCACAAAAATCTAAAATAATATAATTAAAAAGCAATAACATTTTTTTTGTTTATATATGATAAGTAAAAAATATTTCAAAATTAATTTACATTAAAAATATATATATGAAATGTTGTACTTACTATTCAGGACTATAGCAGCCAGTTGTAGTGGTTGGCGTTATCAAATCCAATGATATATCGTTCATGATGGTGCACTCGTAGCTGGGCTGAAACTTGTCCTGCTCGGACTGCGGACGCTTCTGGATCTTCTCGCGATCCTGTTTATGCTTGCGATCGGCGCCCTTCAGCTTGAAGACCTGCAAAGCATTTGAGAATTGTTTGTTAAATACATTTACATTAGCTGTGGCTAACAAATGGGCCAACTCACCTTTATCTGACAGGCAGCTGCATGCACGGCCTGTTTGCCATTTGTCAGGGTCTGACCCGGCGAGGTAATGCCCGATCCGCTGTTGTTGTTGTTGTTGCTAGTTGTATTGCTTGCGTTGTTGTTGCCAGTGCTGTTGTTGTTGCTGCTGGTGCTGCTACTGGAGCTGCTGTTGCTGCTGCTGCTCGAGCTGCTGTTGTTGTTGTTGTTATTGATATTAGTATTGTTACTGTTGTTGTTATTGTTGTTGTTGTTACAAATAGCAGTTGTTGTGCTTTCTATATAGGTTTCAATTTGTAGCCGAAATGGTACACCCTTTTCACCACCGTGCTTCTTTGGTGTAAATTCGGTCGAAATGCAATTAACCTTGATGTAAACACCGACCTCCTTCAATGGATCCCAAAAGATCTCAACCGTATTCAATGCGTTCGCACTCAATGGCTGCGACACATGGCACAGGCCATACGATAATGGTACATCTACCTCGATAATTCGATCACCTGGACGCGATGCCTGCCATTGCTGCATCTGTTCGCGTTCCATGAACTGCAAACGGCGCTCATGGAAACAGATTTTGATAACGCTCTGCAAAAAAAAAAAAAAAAAGAAAAGAAAAAGTAAAATAAAGTAAATAAACACACACATAAGATGAATAGACGCCCAAAATGTACAAAGTTCAAGTTAAGCCAATAAGAAAAGAAAGGCATGAGAAAAGCTAGATTTAAAGATACTCAAAATTTGTCTGATTGCCATATGAGACATTGCCTCTGCACGGATGACATGCTTGAAGTTGTTTCGCGTATAAATTAAGTTTAATTGGGGCATATTAAAATCAATTAACATGCAAACACACACACACACATGGCTACATTAATATTGAGCCACACAACTGCGCTCAGTCTTCGCAAGCATATATTGTCAACGAGCTCAGTTGATATAGTCTTAATAGAAACAACCATAACAATAACTCAGCCAATTTAAACTAATTTTTGCCGTTTTTTTTTTTTTTTTTTTTTGCAAATTAGTTTGAACTCAAAGCGAGCAAAAGAGAGACGTTGAGAGAGAGAGAGAGAGAGAGAGAGAGAGAGAGAGAGATACGGAAAGAGAGAGAGAGAGTCAGAGAGTGTCCATATCCTAGGAAGAATTGCATTTTTGACTTTTCACTCACCTTCAAGATCTTATCGCGATAGAAGGACAAATCTCCAATTTTCTTCAATTTGATCTCATAGCTCTGACCCTGATTCAGATATGTCAATGTCTCCTCATTGTTCTTCGTTGCAATTGAGGTGGCCGCGGCCAAAATGTACTGAAATCTGCAAAATATCGAAATAATTTTATATGAAATATATCAAAGATAATTGGAATAATGAGTTAAAATTAAAAATATATAATTATTAAAAAAATATATATATATTGCAAAAGCTAGCAAAAGGATATTAATCTGATATAGTATATATAAGTAGGTCTATCTTGATAAATACAAAAATATATAATATATAAAAAATATATGCACTGAATATATACATAGATTATTTAGGTGGACACTAATATACGATTTTTTATTTAATTTAATTTATTTTGCATTCTATTTGATTATTACATATGTACATATAGCATCTGAATAACTTCAATTTTCTTTAAATATACAAGATCAGATAATATAATTTCATATTACTTCTGGGTTCCATTTTCAACAAATTTAATCAAATAAATTTAATCAACATTAAATTATTATTATTTTACTAATTTTATAAAATATTTCTGAGCATAATTTAATATAATATAAATAATTTTTCTTATTTTTCATCTATACTAAACACAATGTAAATAATATTTATTTCTGAATTTAAAAAATTTCAGTTTTCTACATAAACTTTGTTGAATTTAATTAAATTATATAAATATAAAAAATCTAGTATAAAGAGAAAATTATAAAGTCCTCTATTCTAAGCTATCTAAGCTATAAATAATTATATAAGACACACTAGTCTCAGTGCTATAGCACTTAAATATAGCAAATTAAAGTTTTCTAAAAACTATAAATTCAATCTAAAAATAGACCATATTTTGCTGATAGCCTATCTAGCTTATCATAAAAGAAACTCAGCTAATTTTATCTTAGTCTAGTCAGTTTAGTATTGCTTAGCACTTTTCACTCACTTATGATCCTCTGCATGAGATGCACCGCCCGACAGGCAGGGCTCTATTTTGGCCGCCTCGACAACGCTCAGCTGCTGCTGCAGTCCAGAGCGCGCTGTAATTTATCAATTGATGCAATTTTGTTAAATTGCATATACATATACATATATGTAAGTGCAACAGTTTACTTACGCGCCTGTGCAAAGGCCTCACGGCCAGATGCAGTTCGGGTTATCTCAGCCGATGCTGCTTCGTTCCCATTGCCACTGCAATTCAATTCAAAATCCGCTGCGGTGGGCGAGCCTTGCGGCGAGCCACAACCACAAATGTTGACGGTGTTCAACTCATGCTTTCCGCCAGCTTCGACAAGTGCTCCGCCTCCAATTCCTGATGCCGCTGCCGCTGCTGCTGCTGCTGCTGCTGGAATCTCCTGACCCGCTCGCTGTGGTGAGTGATTTGCCTCGCCCAATGGCGATTTGTCACTTTTGCCAATTGCGGAGCCGGTGCTGCCGCTATCCAATGATATCTTTGCGTTCGGTTTGAGCTGCTCCGTTTGCGGCTCCTGTTTAAGTGCCGTCAGGCTCGGGGAGAACGATAAAAAGTTTTCACTGCAAGATGAAAAGAATATTAGCAAAAAAAAAAAAAAAGAACCAACTGCAACTGCCAGCTGTTATTTATATTTTTGTATGTATATATGTACATATTTATATATATGTGCATACATATGTACTCACTTGTTCAAATACGAGTTACTGTTAAACTCAGCGTTCAGATCAAAACCTATATCGTCGCTCCAGCTGCTACGACCTGTCCAAAGAGGAAAAAATACTTGTTTAAAATTTTTTTTTCTCTATCTTGAGGAGTCTAGAAATAGAAATATTTTACTTATAGATACGCTAATAAAATGATAAGTAGGAAACACTCTGATCGAACTGTCCAACTTGCAGACACGCGCGGTCGTTTTTATTAGCAGTGAAAACAATTTTAAAAATTATATTGGTTGATAATTGATTAAAATAAAATTTTAAAAAAAAATTTCTGTTAATTTGTATAAAAATTAAATGCATTATATGACTTATAACTGAAGTTCCATATTGTTGTACATATATTATGATTATAAAAAAAAAAAAAAAAAAAAAAAAAACTTGAAATGCGCGTGTTTTAGGAAGACGTCTATCCAAAAATCGACATTTAAGTTCTATATAATTTATGTTTTTAGATCAGAGAGACGATATAATAATTGTGTAAGTCTTGTTTATGTTTTTAGAATTTAAAATTCATCATGTTTAATGTTTTGTTTTGATAATCAATTTCAATAGTATTTTTAGCTGCTTTAACTTATCTATTATTAAAGTGGTTTGGCCTATTTACAATCTTTCTTATTCACACGCTCACTCTCACTCGATCTCCAATGATAACAGCGGTCACTTTTTCCCCTCTATCTCTCTATTTTTCTGTTTATTTCTCTATTTATTTATCCACACATTCATATTCTCTCCCTATCTCAATCTCTCTGTTCTCTTGTATTTCTAGCCCTCTATCTCTACGCATACTTTCACATTTACAGCATATTTCCTAATTGAAACAATTGTAAAGAATGCGAATGCAAATTTTTTTTCTTATGTGCCTCTCGCTGTTTTTAGATAATTTATGTTTGTTTTCAATTTAAATTAGTCTCATAAGTTTACATCAGACTCAGCTTAGTGACACACATAATGACTAATTATTTGTAGTCTGAAGATATTGCCTATCTGAGTTGATTAGTGGAGGGCCTGCCCTGTAGTTGGCTCAGCTTAGCTGCCGGGTATATTGAGCTCAGGCAAAGCATGTAACTTTAAAAACAAAGTTCTTAAGTGAATCTAATACATCATTATATTTATAAAGTATCTATAAATTACACATATAATTGACTAACTTATAAATTTAAGCAAAATTTAACGATCTTATTACATGCTTAAGCATTAACTGTTTTTACAGGGTATTCCTACCTATTCTCAATACTTTCGCTGTTCACATAGCTTGATAATTTGCCAATAATAAAAGAGGAAATTGCTTCACTACAATTGTACCAATGTCAGACGAATATAATAAAATTTCAAGAGCTCACATAGATCGAGTACCGAATAATAGCATCTAAGGCGAGGACCGGAGGACAAAAAACAATTGAAAAAAAAAATCATTTACTCGCTAGCATTATATAAACTGAATGTTGAATGCAATCTATGCATATATATAAGTAGCTAATATATATCGTAAAAGCCATTTTCCCGCCATAGACTTAATTATTATTTGCTGTTAATTAAGTACTTCTATTCTGTCGACTAATTGCTGAAAAAAAAAACTGTTTCCTTTAAATTAAAAAAAATAATAATGAGACTCTAACTAAAATGTGGCAGAAAAATTTTCTAAAAATTCAAATTGCTTTAATTACGGCCTCTACAAAACGTCGACAATTTTTTTTTTTTTTTTTTTTGCAGTCTTATCTGCCGGACAATTGTCGTGTTGATTTCACATTTCTTGATAAGCCACCACGAGTACCGCCCGATAGGCACTCGTTCTAGCACGATTTTGTAAAACAGCGAAAGAGTTAAAATTATATGTGTCTCTGTCACTATATATGTATATATACATATATAACTATATCTGTATCAGCATTGTTATAGCTGTGCTGTAATTAGGCCAATGACAATTGTTGCTCGACTTTGCGTGATATTGGCAAATTGTAAACTCTTAACAACCCAGCAGTCGAATTCCAGAAACAAATATATACATATAGTTTAACTTTTACTTAGCTTAACTTATTTCATATCGAATTCTACATAGAGTGGTATATAGTTAAAATTTTTCTTAGCTTAACTTTCTTATCGAATCTTACAAATATATATGGATTTAATTCAACTATCTCGGGGTGGGCGTGTTTTTATTGCTTTAATTTTTTTTTTTTTTTTTTTTTTTTTTTTTTTTTTGGTTATTTTCCAGAGCTGTAATTGTATAAATATAACGTCCATAAAAAGCTATAAAAATTATATACGTTATTATTTCATTAGCTCTACTTGAAGCTATTCTTACAGTTTCCATCATGTCTTGCACATATGTGCTAAGTTAATTAAAGGTCGTATAATAAGCAATAGAAAAAAATATATATGTGTATATATATATATATACATACACATATATTTTTTTTTATAGAGAGCCTACAATCTTTAATTTTAAAGATGTGTAAGAATTTCTGGCGTTAATTACAAGTTCTAAACTAAGATACCGTTTCATAAATGATTATTACTATTTTATATGAAACATTTCATACCCTATTCAAGTAGGTTTAATATTTAGAGTATATTTATTAATAATCATAATATATTAAATCTTCTTTTGTTAATTAACAAAAATTTCGATTAGTGCTTAGATATTCCAAAATAAAAATAAAATAATCCCTTTTTTTAAATTGCCCATTTCGAATACTATTGTATTTCGAATATTTATTCGAATATTATTTATTTTTTTTTTTTTTTTTTTTTTTTTTTTTTGTAATATTCAAGAATAAACTCCTAATATTATTAATCTTCTTTCATTTTGGAGTTTCTAAATATTTGAATGGGCTTCACATAGACTGTCACCAATTGATCTGGAGCTGCAAACAAACTAAATTAAGTTTTAAATGTTACCTCACGATGTGAACAATGAAAATAAATTTTATGGCCAGAAACACACTGAGTACGCTCAGAACTCGTACACATCTCGAAGATATTGATCAATTAGCAAATAAAACAAAAAATTTGTTAATCAAATAATTAACACATTTGCGCCTTGGCTTGGAAGTTAGCTCTTCAAGAGCATGGCAAATTAAAATAAAACCGTCGGCTCTACAGAGGTAGAGTTATATGTGAAGAAGAACTTGATTCTTCAGATATCTTTGATTTTATCGATTCGTTTAGTATATTGCGCATGTTAGGCGTTAAATACAAAGCAAACAGGTTTACTCAATAGTTGTTAATTGGTTTTTTTTTTTGTGGAATGCGACAAAAAGCTCTACATTTCGGATGCTCTACATTTCGGATGCTTCAAAGACTTTTTGAAGAGGAATACATTCAATCGAATGGGTTGCTCACGGAATTATTATATCCAATAAACTGAATTTTTAATACAACTCTTTTAAATCTGCATATTTAAGTCTACGTTTAAGCCTGATTTTTACTAATCTTTAAAATTCATATTGAATAGTTTAATTTTAATTCGACCCCATTTAAGCTCTTTCGATCTGTCTCACCTGAATGCTTTTCGCGTTTATGTTTATCTTTCTCGTGATGTGCCACCTTATTGGGTATTTCGCCTGATTGAGTTGTCGGTGAATTTTCACTTTGACCAATGTCCAATGAGTACCAATCCATTCGTCTTTTGCGCGAACCACTGTCTGAGTAAATTGTCCTCACGTCGATAATTTGCGGTCCTGGTGAATCCTTGGACTGTCCGTCTGTAGTTATATCGAAATCGAAGTCGAAACTTATCGATTAACGACTGCACAAATAGCATTGCTTTTGATGGATGCGATGAGTTTCATTGATTTTAACGGCATTAATGATGTATATATGCATATATATGTGTACATACATATGGAATTGGATTCGTTATGAACTCTCTTACCTGTCCAAGATTCCTCAGAGTTTGGCGGTGAATCAACAAAGTTAATCACTGGCTCATAATCCGACCCAATATGCTGATGATGATAGCCGCTAATGAAATGATTATTTTGGATCTACAAAGAGAGTTCAATTTGTTAAGTTCGATTTTCAGCTTTTACAGCTATACATATATATAAATATCGGATTTGGGAAACTTTTCCAGCACACTGTCTACGATTTAGATTTTCGTTTACGAAATCGTCTAGCATGCTGCTCACTTAGACAGATCTATCGCGGCATTGCCCCAGCCATAACAGATGCATTATCTCTCAGTACTACCTAACATAGTATTGGGGTCCTAAACCTTGCTGATAATACAAAAAAGAAAAATACAAAAAATAATCATACTACATTAACTGAAGAGAATTGCGATGCCTGTAAATTGTTCTCTCAGTCAGTTTCTCGCTCACTCTCTCGCTCTCTCTACTTTTCTCTCTGTGTACACACGCTGTGCATCATTTAAGTGAGTGTAAATTGTGAAGTTAATCATTTCTATACACGTTCGATTGCAATTTACATGATATTCATTATACATACATTGAGCACTTTGAGTTTTCATTTGTTTACGCCCGGCAGTCTGGGCCTGTTGATTTCTTTTGATTGTGTTCTCAAAAGATAAGCGCATAATGTCAATAATAACAGCCACAACAAGGCACGACCTGAGTCCAGCGTGTTTCGTTTAACTCCATAACTCGATAATAAAAACTGGCAAATATGAAATTTGACCGCCTTTAGATATTTTTAGAGCACTTACTTCCTCTCCCTCCTTATCTTTATATATTTTCAGCTGTTTTTATTGACCGACTGAACGCCGAAATCAACAGCTTGAATTGATATCATTTCATATAAGTATATATCATATAACGTGCCATATTTCCATAGCGATATTGATTCCAAATTTGTTTGTATTGATTGACTGCTACGACAGCTTAAACTGTTTGTATTGAGTGACTGAGTGATTGAGTGATTGTGCGATTGATTCAGTGCTACTTCCTGTTCACTTCAATTAATTTTAGAAGATATCAACTGATTTAGCAACCTTTTTACCTACTTCCCCCTATCTTATTATATTTTAAGCATATTTTATTGACTGACTGCTGAATGATTGACTGAGTGATAAGAAAGCATTTATCTGTTGTTAAAAGAATCTTCATTCTCCTACTGGATTATATACAGAAATCAGTAGTAATTGACGGTTCGATCGGTCAATTGAGGAAGTGAAAAACGGATTGATTGATTGATTGAGAAGATGTGAAGAAAGTGATCGACTTGAACTCAAACAAATAGGAATGACATTGCAAGAAAACCTGTTGAACAATTTGTTGATTTGACTATTTCAAATATATCTTGCATTAGCACTTTCTGAATGTCCAGATTCTGAATGGGAAAACAACTATAAAAAGAAGGCAATATCAAATGTCTAACAGATTGATTTAGTTGAAGAGCATTCGTATTGAATGTTGCTATAAGTATTGTTTGCCTGTCTGTGCCAGTCGATCTGTTATGTGATCCGAATTCTGTTCTTATTCAATGTATTTACACATACTCAAACAACATTTCCAATTAAGAGTGGAACAAAAAAAAAAAAAAAAAGTAAATAAATAATATATATATAGATCAATATATATATATGTTGAAATACCGAAAACAAATAAAAAGACAATTTTGTGATATGTTTTATGAAGTCTCATTTTCAGATAATGCCGACTGCCAATAAATATTTAATATGCTTATGTACGTAATATTCTATTTATATTACTAAGAGGTAGTCAAGATTTGTTTTATTAGTTGTCGAGTATGAGTTTAATTTGACAAAAACTTTCCATACATTCGAGACCTAATCTATAGAATGATCTTTTTAGAGATTAAACGTAAAAAAAAAAAAAAATAGAGGGATACAACAATATTTTAAATCAATTAAATTCTTAAGTGATAGTTTTTGGTTCTTATATAAAAAAATCTATGTTCTCTTTAAATGATTTTAACTGTCAAATATTTAGATTTTACATTGGAACAAAACATTAAATACATTTCAATTTATGATTACTTTAAATATGTTTTAAAAACAATTTTTTTTTCTCACGTATTTTATTCAATACTTGTAGTCTTATAAAACGTCACATATTTCTAATCAAAAATCTTAGCATTCGCTATCTATGTCGTTCATATCTTATCAGAATATTTTTAATACAAATATATTTATATTAAGACTTACTGTATTATGTTCAAAATAATAAAAATGTATAAGATGTTTGATTAGACATATAAAACATATTTATAAGGCATTCATATAATATTTAGTACAACACCATTATCTTTTTTTTATAGAGTATGAAAACTTAAACTTTTTAATGAGTATATAAATATATATGTATATATATTTATAATATACATAGATATATTCTGTCATAAATATTTTTTATATAATATAAATAAATCTTCAAAAATATTTCTCAACTTACCTGATTAAGATTTTCTCCGTTAGTTTGGTGCGTATGAATATTGTTGTTGTTGTTGTTATTGGTATTGTTATTGTTGATGGTATTATTATTATTATTATTGCTATTGCTGTTATTGTTATTATTATTATTCGGATACTGATTATGATGATTTCGATTCAAGTTGTTGTTGAATTCCATTTGGTCGAAATCGTTGAATATGCTTAGATCAAATTTCGTTGAAGTGCGCTGTTGTTGTAGTTGTTCTTGTTGGTCTGATGATAAATGAATTTGCAGTTGTTGCTGCTGCTGATGCGGTTGTTGTTGTTGTTGTATTGAATATTGCGGATCAAATATGCTGTGTAAATCCAACAGACCGGAACTTTGGGATAGAAACGAAAGCGCCATCCGGTTTAAAAATATATGCAATTTTTCTCCACTAATTCTTCCTTATTTTACCAAATGTTTTTTATTTCTTATTATTATTTTTTTTTTTTAACAATTTTACTCAACTTTAATTACAAATTAACGAATTTATAGTCTATTGTTTTTGTCCACAAGAACCGTTAGTACGCACTTTCAGAAACACGGGGTATTACGGGGTATCACCCTCGGCGAGCTTTCGCGTGCAATTTTGTCAAGCTTTTGCGGGCCACTTAAAAATTATTTTGAATATGTTTTCAATGGTTTTTGTTTTGACTTAGTTGTAAGCAACAAACAATAAGAAGTAAAAGGGAATTGGAGATTTATTATTATAGTTTTTTAAAACATATACTTATTTTATGTCAACATTTTGTATTTTGATTATATTTTCATTATAACAAGGAAGAAAAAAATGACACTAGCTTTTTATTTATTTTCTATTTTGTCTATGTTTTTTTTTTTTTTTTTTTTCTTAGCACAGCACTTGGTTTTTGTATACAACTAACAACCAAATAATATCTAGTTTGTTATTTTTTTTTTACTTTTTTAATATTGTTTTAACAACTTTTGTTTTGTAACTTTCAATTGATAGAAATAAAATTCGTTGTGCGTTCTTCGGACGTTGGAGAGAACGTTTGAATGCAATTAAAAGAGTACGAAAAACGAATTATACAGTTTCTTGATCCCGGTGGTCTCACGCTGACGATGGCTACGTAGTAGGGTGTTTTCAATTTTTAACAGCATTTTGTTGCGCAAATACATATAGCTCGATTGCGATTGATATTCATTAGACATGCGTTGCAGTCGTATTTCAGATTTCTCCATTTATCGTTAAGTTCTTTGACGTTGGGTTACACAAAATTTCAAATTTTGGGGGCGATTGCACAAAAATGTAATTATCTCAATTCCTCCAACTTTTCTCGATCGTTCCCTTCGCTCAGTGCTTGTGGAACGGTTTGGCTTTTTCTGGGCTAGATTTAGCTATCCTTCTCTGTTTTTTTGGTTTTTTAAACCGCTGTCAGATTAATGCAAACATTCTAAGGAGCTTGTGTTTTAAAGCCCTTGCGTGGAAATTAACTGTTACTTGCGAGAGTCTCTATGTCTCGCTCTTTGCTGCTGAATTCTGTAGCTCAACTTAAAAGCTTTGTCTAGGCAGACTGTGTCAGATATTTGACATTCTTAATTATGTGGCGACCAAATGGTTTGGCACTTCTACGACTTCGACTTTTTGTTTTCTAGATGATGATTTGACCAATAAAATTATTGGTTTTTCCTCGCTTATGTAAGACTTGTTGCTGTTGTTGCTGGTGAAACACTGTCACAAGGCGCACATTATAGTCGTTGATTAGAGAATTGGAGCGAACGAATTCTTCATAAATTTGTCAATCAAAATTTCGCATTTGATTTGGCGATTCTTTTGCGACGTTTGCAAACACTTTTGCGCGTTCTTTATCTTACGAAAACACGCACAAATAATAATTTTATATGTATATTATATAGATTTATATAGAATATTTTGTATCTATATTTTTTTTGCTTAGCTTTTTCTTAGACACTGTGAGGCACACAACTATTCCAGACGCGTTACAAATGTATTCTGTTTAGCCGATGAATGTGAAAATCGCTGCAAAGCTTTGCTAATATTTTTTGTAGCTTTTTTTTTTCTTTGCTGCTGCTGCTGTTGCTGCTTCACGTTTAATCGCTGCTCACATAGACGAGAGAGTAACAGCTGCTTTCGTTGTATGCGTATTATTTATAGCAGGCTGTTTCGCATGTGTATGCGTGCGTGCTGTTGGTAGACGGATTTGTTGGTATTGGTGCGCTGATAAAGTTTTTGAAAACCTTCTTTAGGTTTGTATGTGTTGTATTTTGTTATATGAGTGTGCGTAAACTGTTAAATATATTTGCTTGTATTAAGTTTTTTAATTAGAGCCTTTTTTAGGTTTTACACACGTAGACAAAGTCATATAAGTATGTATATGTATATGTTTTTTTTATAAACTGGTTTTCGAACTGCAGCGCTAATTATTTAAATTTGCATAATATATTTGTTTAATCGAGTTTTATGTGTTTATTTAATCGACCGATTTTTATATTTTGCTTGCGCGCAATTTTAAAAATTCAAAGTTTTATATTTTTGTCTTTAAGACGTCCATTAACTGTTTTCTATATATTTCGATTGTTGCCAATTTTTCTTTTTTTTTCAGATTTCTTTTGAAAATATAAATAATTATATTTTTTGATATTTTCTATATGCCGATTTAATTCTGGTTATAGGAGCACTTTTAATCCGACGAAGCGAGGCTTCGAAAAGCCCAAAAAGACGAGCATTTTGTGTGGCCAGAACCTTGGTCGAGCGGCAACCAACACGGACACGAGGTTAAAATATCAATGAGTTGTGAGTATATTCGCCGATAGCGGGAAACTACAGATACCGTTTCAATTACAGTTCCCGAATTCAATGCAAGCCTCAACGCAAAAACCGAGCGAGCCGAGCCGACGACTGCGATGATCAGCAGAGAAAAAAACAGAAAGACGCCAACAAAAAAAAAACGGACACGGGACGGAGAGAGATTGCGACTACGACTGCGACGAGAACTGTTACTGCTGCTGCTGCTGCTGCGGCTACTTTAGCTGATTGTTGATCAAGTTGATTGTCACTTGTTGTGTATGGGATGGATGATGCTGCGACTGCGCTGCTGCTGTCGACGCTGACGGTGACGTTCGCTGCTTTACCAATTGAATACAACGTTCGCGCGCTGTTTGATTTCTGTTGTTGTTGTTGTTGCTGTTGCTGTTTTGGCTTCTGCTGCACTGCTCAGCTGTTTTGCACGTTTTCTTATCTGCTCTTATTTTGGTTGACAGCTGCACTCTTTTGTTGTTTTCGGTTTCTTTGTGCTTCTTTGCTTTTTTTATCAATCACTTATTTCACTTGCACCCGCATCTGAGATGACAATACTAAAAACACAATAGTTATCTCTTTCACACACACGTGCTGCGCACTGGACTCGTAACTAAATCGACTGCTGCTGTTACGTTTCACTGTGAATGCCGTCGCGAACTACACAATAACAAATTAATTATTTCAAATAGAGCGAAATTTTCCTCGATTTATGTTGATTACGCGCGTCGTACTTGCAATTGAATTCAATTCAATTGGCTTTTATGGTTTAGCTTGTCTGTTCTATTGATGTATGTATGTTAGTTTTGATATGCGTGTGTGAGCTGCCCACTCAGAAGCTTTCAATGGCTGCCGATAGCTATTGTTGTTCTCCTTGTTGTTGTTGTTGGCGTTGTCGTTCGCACTTTTGCTGCGCGCGTCGATGACGTATTTTGGTACGCACACGTAATAAAATTGGCACAGGAAAACTGGGAGAGCCTTCAAAAAAGCTCAAACACGATGATTTAGGCTGCGGTGGCGTCGCCGCTACGCGCTCTAATTAAATATTATTTTTTGTATCTTTTTGATTAACAAAAAGCGCCGACGTGTAATTGTTGCTGCTACTGCTGCTGGTTATGTTTATTATTGCTTTTTGTTGTTATCGATGTTGTTATTGGTTTAACGCTTATAAATCTTGTTTTGATGTTTTGATTATTAAAACTCGCACAAAACTTGTGTTTTAGCCGATGGGAGCTAACGTACTGATTTTTGTGAGCGGACGTCACACGCTAATATAAATTTTAGCTCTGACTTTACGCTTACCAGCTGACTGACATGAGCAGCTCTCTCTCACTCTTTCGTGTTCGCTGGCATAAGAGCGTGCGGAACGCTGCTCTTTGCACACGCATAAACAGACTGCCCTTCTCGCACTTGTGCATATGCAAATTGCCTGTGGAATGCAGCATAGAAAAGGAAACTTGTTGTCGTGAAGCACACGAAGGAGCAGGTGGAAGCAGACGTCGCGCTCTCCAGTTCTAAAATTAAATTAAAACGTTTTTCTTTTTCATATATATGTATATTCTTTTTATTTTTTATCGACTGAGCTGCAGTATTAACTGTCAGCGAATTACAGCAACAATTCATAATATCAACAATGAACCTCAACGATCGAGAGAGCAGCAGCGCATAAGAGCAATGACTAAAAGAGCGGTGAGCGGCTACACCTGCCTTCGAGTTCTTTGTTTGGGTGTGAGCATTGACGTTATTCTCACTTGTTATTTATATGTGAAATTGCACATGGTATAGCGTGTGTGAGAGAGAGAGACTGTGGACTGTGCTACTTATGAGCGACGATCAGACGTTAGATTGGCTGTGCCTCAAATTCATAACAAGTAACGGTTTTTATGCTCAAACTATAAGTTAACTTTAATAAAAATTTGTAGGTCGCAAAAAATTGTGCCCGTTGCCTATTGTTTTATTTTATTTTATTGATTTATTTTTGTTTTTAATTTCTTCAGCTAATTTGCAATAATTATTACTTAGCTATGACATTTTTGTGGGCTTGGGGTTTTTGTCTTCTGGTTTCATTCATAAACAGCGTTAACTTATGTGTTAATTAAAAATTTAATTGACAAAGGCAGTTTTCAAAAAGTCGCCGAAATTGCCCGTCTGGTTTCTGAAACATCTTACTGAATCAATACATATACAGATAAAAAAAAAAAAAAAAAAAAAAAAAAAAATTATAAAGCTTTTTTTTTTTTTTTTTTTTGTTCTAAAGTTAACTTTTGATACTTTCCTCCTTGCTCATTTGTCATCAATTGATGGCAATGAGCGATGCCAAATTAAATATTCTTCAATTGTTTTTAAATTGCCATCAATAGCAAGGTTTCAAGTAAAATTAATTTATTTGCACAATGAAAGTCAAAGACGCAATTCGTTGTAATAAAATTGTTCCGCTAAGCTCTCATCTCATCTATAGATATTGATCAGAAAACCGTTTCTTTCATGTTATAAAAAAATAGTTTGACGACTTTGGTCTTAATTAATTTGCCATGTACAAATTTTAGTGGCTTTAATTAGCGGTTGTCAGAAAAAAAAAACTCTTTGCTAATTTATAATAATTAGCATTAATAAATTTTCAATTTAAGACATTTGTTTTCGTATAGCCATTTATAATTTCGACTGCGACATTCAAATAAACAAATTAACCAATGTTAAGTTGAAAACGTGTAGCGTTAGATTGTAGGAAAAATTATGAAATTTAGTTTTATATATACCACAAATTAGACATAAATTTTAAAGCAAACATAGTTTCTTATTATCCAAAGCTTAATAGCAATATTAAAATCTTTTGAATTGCGCGCGCTAATTGTTGCTTGCAACAGCGCGTTTAACAGCACTTTCAGCTAGAAAACGATATGCAGCAAATATATCGATAAGAGTGTAAGCAACTATCGTACACCTGAAGCAAAACAACGCGTTTGCAAAAGAAGGCAAACATCGCAAATAAAATAATGGAACTCTCGCCCATTAATCAAATTGAGGACAGGAAACCATTAATTGCCGACGGCTTGGTGCAAACATCAAATTCACCATTTGAGCAACAGACATCAGCAACTACAACAACAACGACAGCAGCGTCAACGGCGGCGGCGGCGACAGCAGCAGCAACAACAGCAACCACAACAGCGACGACGACCATCTCACAGGAGACGCAAACATCGAACGGCATCGGAATCGGCATCGGCGGACCGCTGACAGTTGATCAGCTGGATATCGAAATATTGCCAATCATTTACGATATTGTGCGCTGGTATGTGTGTGTGTGCGTGTGTGTGTTGCCAAAAAAATAATATTTATATAAAATGCAGCGTCAGCTGCGCAACCAAGAAAATTAAGAAACAAGTAAAACTTAGCTTATATAACAAAAAATTCTTTGCAGCGTGGAAAAGGATCCCTTGGAGAACGCTGCCAAGCTGCGTGAATCGCAGGACTGCAATCATAAGGTGGGCAAACAAATACCCTGTAATTTACTCAATAACTAAATTAAAACTTTACAGATCTTTGAGCTGCAAAAGCGCTTCGAATCAGCGCGTGAGCAAATCAAGCAGCTGCCGGGCATCGACTACAACAAGGAGGAGCAACTGCAGCGCCTGGAACTGTTGCGCAGTCAGCTGAGGCTCAAACAGCAGCTCATACGCAAATACAAGGATACCGAATTTTAGTTAAAGAAAAAAAAAAACACTCTCACCATGGTTCTGCGACTGATATTGCGCTACTTCGCCAACAACGAGCAGCTCATTCAGCGCATGGCTGATAGCTATCCGATGCGGCGAGCTGCTCAGCTGGTCGTTGCGCTGATGTACCGCTCGAAGAGCTTGGCCAGGGAGCAGGGTCTGCACGAGATGACGCCCGAGCGGTTCAAGTGAGTGAAGGCTTTAAATACGAATCTACAATGCCTTTCGACTCAACACATGCACATTCTCCGTTTCTCTCCACAGATCGTTTGTAAACATGTTTAGGAATAATGTTAAACAGGAACTGGAGGGCGTCAAGAAGGAGCTGAAGAATCAGAAAAAATAAATTAATTATTGTAAATTTCTTAGTAATAGGCTATAAACAATTTGGGCATATACATTAAATTACAAGAGTAAGCAAAATGTTTTTTTTGTCAATAAATACCAAGATTTGGTAATTAGCACTGAAGCAGCTGACTTGCTACGTTACTCAATGAAAAAGCAAGTGTCATTGTAGCATAATATAGTTTTACCCAATAGATAAGCTAGTGTCATTGTAGAAGGAATCAGTTTGGTTAACATTTAAAATCTTTAAATTTATTATGTAATTTCATAATTTATAATACAAAACAAAAGTTAGGTATCAAGAAAAATTCACTCAATTTTTTATTAAAAAAAAAAAAAAAATAATTCAATTTTCTTCAGTGATATTTATAATTACGTTTCTCTCAGTGTATATATCTAGCAACTAAATTGAATTTGGCAAACCTTTGTCTTTAGATTGGACGAAAACAAATTAGACATTTATTTATTAGCAAAATTTACACACAAATTGTCACACAGCATACAAAGACGTCTTACCGTGTGCCACCTGTAGCAAAATAGTTATTCTCTTCTCTCTTTGTCTGTGTGTCTCTCTTTCTCTCTTCATCCTCTATGCTCTAATCTCCCTATGCTTATTAGTTTCTCTCTTTAAAGTTAACGGTCGCATGTCTCACATTTAGCACAACCGTCAAAATACGAGCTTAACAACTATCAAATTTTGTGTACAAAAAACTTTTTCCGCTTCCTTCTTTCACTTTCTCTTTTTAAAACAGTTTGTGGATTGAAAATTACGGAGTTTTCTAGTTTTGCATGGTCTCCGGCACGGCATCGAGGGAGCTGGTGCCACCGTTTACGGGCGCCACGGCGGAATTGCTTAGGGGCGGTCGATTGTTGCGTTTCCGCTTGCCGCCTCGACGACTGCCCTCGCGTCGTTCTCCATTCTGTTTGCTGTTGTCCTCGCCATTGTCTTTGCTGCACCCTTGGCCCGCGGCCGAGGAGGACGCGGAGGAGTTGGAGCCCTGGCCATTGTGACGCTGCTGCTGCTGATTGTTGCTACTATTGCTGCTGCCATTGTGTGCCCGCGATTGCATCTTGGCAGGCTTGGGGCGATATGGCGAGGCGGCTGCCTGTGGCATCGGCTGCAGGATGTTGCCCACCGCCTTGGTGCGTCCCTCGCGGAACACCAAACGCTGGCCGGCCCGAATGTACTCCGGCTGTTTGATGAACCGAAACTTTACGCGCGCCTTGTCGCCGGTGCGCAGGCAATCGCAGGACATGCGCACAATCGACGCCGTCTGGCGTATGCTGCCGCAGTGCACCATCGCCTGGTAGCGGGCGGAGATCGTTGTCGGATGATGCAGCACAAGGATTTCGCCTTCGAATTCCCAGCATGCCTGTGGCTTCAGCTCTGGCGCCACCATGACCATGCCCTTGCGCAAATACGTTCGTTTGATCTTCTTCAGCGCAAAGCTCGCCGTCTGGCCACATCGCACACGCTCCACATTCATCCGTTTGCGATGGATACTCTTGATCGTGATGGGCACAAAGGTGCCCACAGCATTCGGCCCTAGCATTAGATTATCGTTTAGCTTAATGGTGCCCTGCAGGCAGGTGCCGGAGACGACGGTGCCGACGCCTGGCACCGAGTACACATCGTCGATCTGGAACTCTGCCGGCAGATTTTCAGAGCCGGCCATGCGTGTGCTCAGCAGATTGAGAAACATTTTGAGCAGCTCCAGATTATCGCCATTCACATTCGACACCTGAAAGATGGGACAGAGGCGTTCGCTGACGAAATTCGTGGCACTCAGCACCACATCGTCCTGGCTGCGCACCACAACGGGCACCTTGCGGCACCCCTGCGACTTGAGCATCTTGAAGAGCAGCTTCATATTGTCCTGCAGCACATTGGGCGGGCACATATCGATCTTAGTGACCACCACGAAGACGGGCACGGCCAACGCCAATGCGAGACCCAAGTGCTCCTTGGTCATGCCAATGATACCAGCATTAGCACCGATCTATAGAACATAACAGTCAGTTACATAAGTAAATAGATATCAAACGGTTTTTCAATCACCATCAGCATGCCAAAGTCGGGCGCATGACCCGTCATGCCAAACACTGTCGTCTTCAGGTATCGCTCGTGCCCCGCCAGATCAATGAACGTGATCACCTTCGATGACTTCTCGCAGATCTTCACCCAATCCAGATGGCCATGATCTGGTTTATTCACCACATTACCGACACCATCGAAGCCGAGTATATCGTTGCCCACCGAGCTAGTGCGTCCGCTTTCAATTTCATGCTTATGCCGGAAGAGACGCTGTCGCGCATGGCCACGTCCATTGTCCAGCTCACCGTGCGTTAGAACGCCCAATAACGTGGACTTGCCGGCGTCCACATTGCCAACAACAGCCACGCTAGAAAAGAAATGGACAACTTAAGATTTGTAGACTTGAAGAATTATTTAAGCCTCGGGCCGTACCGTATCTCCATAAAGTCAGTTGTATCGATATGCTTGCGTATGAGCAACTGCGCCGTTTTGCCCTTCTCCACATTCCGTTCGCGCAGCACTACGAGATCAGCATCTATGGCCGTGGCCAGCTGACGCAGCGTGCGCATCGAAGCCTCAAACTGCTCCACAGTCAGTCCACTGTCCCGGCCATCTATAGAGGGAGTTGATTTACATTATTAGAATATATATATCTGATTACTTATTATATTTTATATATTTTGTTGTCTAGCTCTTGGTCTCTCTTTTGCACTCTCAAGGAGCTTGGGACCGCAAGTCCTCAGTCCTACATGCGTGCGTGTGAGCGAGATAACTCCTGTCTCTCAAAAGCGCTTTCTCAAATTTATATTTGCGCCTAATTAATTAACTAATTGGCCTTTTACTATCGAATTTCTCTTTTTCTGCACCTTGCAGTTATTTTATATAGTTCAACTTACCCTCGCCCACGCCTATTTCGTAGATGGTCTCGCCACAGCTATCAGAGATGCGATCGAGCAGACGCCGCTTGAGCAGCTCCAGCTGCTCCTCATTGGGCGCCACGAGCACATCCTTGCCTCGAATGCTGGAGTAGTCGATGCTTAACTGTTGCGGCTGCTGTGTGGGCACCCCGTCCACGGTGAAAATATTGCTGCGTGCGCTTTTTATGCCCACGCCCACATTTAGGGGCAGCGCTGGTGCGTTCTGTATATTGTTCATGATTGGGTGTCTAACTAAGCTGGGTTACGCTCTATATCCTTGGAATCATTGCCTGACTGTGTGTGTATATGTGTGTGTGTATGTGTACGTGCAAGTTATTTCTGCAAGCAAAACGGAACATAAATTTCATTTAGTAAATGTTTACCACAAAATTGTTAATAGTGTTTTTTATTTTATTGTCATTCCAACCTATCCCACGCCCATTTGCCGTGTTGAGTTCGACGTGGGTTGTGTTTGCATTTCACTTGGGTAATGAGAGGAAACAATGTAAGAAGCTTCGCTTTTATACGAAATGCTGACGAAACTCATTCAGTGAGTGACGCAATAGAGTAGAGAGCATAGTGGATCTTAGTTGCTTGAGTGGGAGGGAGAGATCGCCAGGAAGTTTGCATTGCGGTGGGAAAAAAGAGTGCAACTACATGTTGCTGCGAAAGTCCCCCCAAAAGGAGAATGTACGCAAGAATTATTGCATCAGTTTCGAGCGAATGAGAGACCTAGTTGAGGCGCTTGAATTTTCATTCGTATGCGAAATAACCGTTACAGCGAACACCACATGCATAAAAATTATAGTAAAGCGACAGCAGTTGAGGCGAATGGGTGACAGTTTCACTCAAATACGAAATAGCCGTTATTGTAAGCGCTGCAGACAGAGCGACGACAACGACATTGCCAGAGAACAAGCAGCTAAGCAGCAGCAGCAGCTGGGGACAGTTGAAAATCAGCTGTTCTCGCATAAAGATGACTAGCCAATGGAGCTAGGGGCACATGTACGGATATGCGCGTGTGTGTATTTCTCTCTATATGTGTGTATGTTTGGCAAAGCATAAGACGCTGTTTGTTTATTTTGGTTTTCTTTCGCTGCTAGTTTATGTAAGCCATTTTTGTTGACGTACACAAATAAAAAAGCTCAAACATTGTTTTTGCACTTTTGTTTGCCGTTTCTAATTTTTTCTGTGCCCCTAAACAAAAATGCGAAAACAATTTATTTATAGCGCCCACACGTACGAGTATATGTAGATATATTATGACAAAGTCAAAACAACAATTAATTCTTGCGCCTTTTCTTTTGTTGTGCTTTCTGGCATTTGTTTTGTGCCATTGAATAACAAACTGTAGATCAGCTGGGTGGAAATAGATGTATTCAGATGCATCTTGGATGCATATGAAAATCAACTACGTGGGTCCGTCCAAATTGCAATTAAAAAGTGAAAGGGTTGTTTCATTTTTTTGTTGATTCCACAAACTCCTGTTGCGGGCTTTTGGGCTTCTGTATGAACCCCCGCCAAGTTTTTCTTCGTCATTTTTTAATTACTTACAGTTCATGCAGCACTTTGTCGTATTTGCTGTTGCCGTTGTACTTCGCACTAAGCACATTGAATTTGGATAAAAGTGCACTAATATAACATTAATGAGTACATAATTAGTACATGACTACGAATTGTTTTTCGTCTGTCCAAGCCACGTACGATTTTGTAGCGTTGCCAGCGCGCCAAAATATACGGTGGCAATACTACATGGAACTTATCGATAGCAAATAAATTTCAATCGACTATCGTTATTTAAGCAGACCGCAAAATTTTAAGTGATGAAAAGGGGAAGTGGTTAATATTCTAAAAACCACAATTCTAAAAACCACAAGAGAGATTAACATGAATTAACATTATTTTGATTAGTTATTAGTTAGCTTATGATTAATTTAATTTTGTATTTTCGTCGCTGCGGTTTTTTCTTATAGCATTGACACTATTTGATAAGCATTCTTTATTGCTAGAACCTTCGGAATTATTTTATAAATTGTGTAATTTGTAATTAAATGAACATGGTTATGATTCACGGCGAATTTAAATGAGAACACAAATTTTGCTCGCACTCACACACAGTTGTTTGTATCTATGGATGTGTGCAAGTGCGCAAATATATTTTTCACCTTTGCCTTTTTGCTCACTTTATTATGTTGTTATATATATATTTTCCTGATAAGTTGCAATCATTTGCCAATTCTATACTTGAAGTTTCCATTAGTATTTGCAGCGACGTAATTGTCATTTAACTTAAGCGATTTTAGAATTCAAAGTTCTTTAAACTTCCAAACAGCTGTGCACAGAGAGCGAAATGCCAAAAATTTCAATGTCAACAAGTTTTTTTTTCTTGTCTGCCGCGTGCTAATACTGCTGCTTCTTCACACTGCCGGTCAAGCCATTCGCACCTTCTCGCTCTCCAGCACAAAAGGCGTTGCTAGGCATAATGGTATGGCACACACACACACACACATACACTCGGAGTCAAACATTGATGTAAATATGCGTGCACGTGTGTGTGTGTGTGCTCGTATCGCCGGCATAGCATGAGTTATGCAAGCCAGAAATAAATGTCTTACAAAATGAATGAGTTTTATTTTTACAGTTCTTTTTTAATATATATATATGTATGATAGCCTAAAAAAATAGTTTAAAAATTATAAAAATGTTTTTAACAATTTTGGTACAATTTTTATCGTGTTGCATCATTCGTAGTGATTTAATCCAAAAGCGTTATATGTGAATGGGTGTGTGTGTATGGCAGAGTGTCTGTGTGAATATGTTAGGGCGGGCGGGCCACAAAAGTCAGCTGAAGTTGTCTGGCTTTGTTCTTTAAATACATATGCATGTAAATATCATATGTAATAATGCTCAGCCAATTAGGGGTGGGATGGGGAAAACATAATGCTAATGCTAAAAATATATTTAACATGCTTTCCTTCCTATTCGGTTGCTGCTCCCGCGCACACAACTGGCAATGACTTCTCTGGAGTGTTTTCTTTTTTGTCGTCTTCGTCCATCACTTCGCATATGCATTCATTCACAATATAAGTCTGTGTGTGTGTATATATGGAGAAACTGTAAAACTATGAATTTGTATATGTACATACATACATTATGAATTTATATATAGAAACATATATATGTTGTCTGTGGGTGGCAAAACAAGGGACTGCGGCGGCATATTGATGTGAGTGGAAACGGACATGCTTTCATTTTTAGTTTAGTGGAAACGGGCTTGTTTTTTTTTTTTTGTGTAGTGGAAACGTGCTTTAATCGCTTTGCAAATACATTTTTGTTGTACATTTTTAGTTGTTGTTGTTACTGCTACGGCGCGCTTCCAACTATAACTAATTTATTTAGTTGATTTTATAATTTTTTTGTTGTTTAAGTTTTGAAAATACCCTTAATATATTAATATAATTATTATATTTTATGTGTTCTGTTCTCAGCGCTCACTTGGGATGCCTTTATTTGTTGTATAGTAATTTGTTTTCTTTGTGTGTGTGTAAGGTCTGGGTGTGTGTGTGTGTGTATGTGTAGCATGACCCCCATTTGAAAAGAAGTAGTTGTAATTGTCGTCCACTTGCTTCTACTTCTGTTCGTATGTATGTGTGTGTTTTTCGTTTTTAATGCGTTCGTGTGTGTGTGTATGTGTGTTGTGTAGGTTGATTGGCTGGGTTTAGGCAGATGCTGCAACTTCACCAGATTTCTTGGCGGCATCAGCAGTGGCGGTTCCAGCAATGGCTACCTCCTCAAAGTTCTCAACCAGATCGGGCACATCATCGTCGCCGGCATCCGCCGATGCACCAGCACCGACACCAGCCGCACCGCCGCCAGCCGCATTGCTCTTGCTGGCAATCTCAGAGGCAATCTTCTTCAGCTGATTGATGTCCTGGGGACCCAATTGCGTGAGAATGCCGGGCAACATCTCAGAGATCGTCTTATTCTCGCCATGGCCGGTAATGGCGAACGTGTTGGTTGGTAGCGATGCCTGCGCCTTTGGGTTGTTGAAGTGGATGACGGTTCCATCGTTTTTGATAATATTCACTTCCTCAATGCCGGGTATGGTATTGACCGATAGCTTTTTCAACGATGACTGCAACTTCTTGTCATCAGTGGCCGGGGTCGAGTGCACAATCTTCTTCTTGCGACGTGGGGTACCCTTGCCGCCAATGCGCACCTGCGCCTGCAACTTCTTCAGCTTTTCTGGATTCATTTCTGTAAGAGACACACACAAGGCAGAGCGCGCGCACAAATACACACAATTGCCCAAAGAAAATGTTGCACAATGTTTAGTTTTTTGGGGAAAATTTTTGTTGTTGAGTTTGTAATGTTATGAAATATACTGTTGAAATTACTTTGATATTACTATAATTTAGCACAGAGCTTAGCCCGAAAAACACGTGCGCCCAGTTGTACTCAAATGTCAAAAAGAAATCGCCATGATAAAAATGGCAAAGCAGTATGTATAAGGGAGTAGTACTGTTAACAAACACTAAACTCGGTGTTTCATATCGATGAAATGTGCTTAACTCAATAAAAATGGCTAAGCGCTTATTGTTTAGGCTTCAAGAATATACAAAAAATTTATTTTAATTTATATTGAAGAGAAAACAATAAATTTTCTCATTAAATTCGTGATTTTTTCAGTTTTCTTTGCCCACCAACTATCGATAGGCAATCAGCTGTTTTTGTGGCTACTAAACACAGCGCGCCAATTAAGTGTTGGCTAGTGCTGCAGCTGCGATGGGTGTTTTAACGCACGGCAACGCTGATAGCCTACAAGAGTTAAGATTAGTAATCGCATTTCTCATAGATAAGATAACACATATTAGTGAGTTTATTTAATTCAACGAACTAACAAAATACGCAATCACGGTGTGTGCATATACTAAGCTTCGAAATCCTTCACGTGTGTGCAATTTAGTGTCCAAACGCCAGTCTGAAAGTCAACAATAGAAAATAACTGCAACAAGTGGAAGAGTTTATAAATTATTAATCAGAAATACAATTTGACAAACAAAAATACCGTGTGTGTTGCGTGCACCGCGATAAGGCATTAAACGTAAGTTTGGCATGCATTGACTACATCAATTTTTGAAATTAATTGCCGTTTGCTAATTGCAGTGGAGAGTTGGGATAGTGATTTTGATTTTGATAGCTTTGACGATTTCGCCATGGATTTCTGGGGGATTTTCATGTTTTTCCTGTTAACGTTCCTCATAATGAGCTGTTGCGGCTACTGCTGTACGACCAAGCGTCGAGGCACTGTGCTCTCAAGTAAGTACATGGATTTTCCCTTATTCAAATTAATAATCTCTGACATGACTCACGCATACATAAACAGAGTAGCACACACACACGCATATACTTATACACATGGACATATATAGTATATGTAATGTGCATATGATGTGCTGTCTTTAATATAACTTCTATGATTCATATTTATTTTCATTAAGCCTGTACGTAATTCTAAAAATCTTTTTTTTTTTTTTCAATTAACTTTTATTGACGCCTGTTTAAATGAGTTTTAAATACCTTTTTTTTCAAATCGTTTTTTGTTGTTGTTGTTTTGTGCATTTTCTTTGACCGGCTCATTCGTAAACAAACAAAAGTTTGTGACTTTTTATCTGATTTAAATCAATTTGGGGTAAGCTCAGTATATGTATATATATTTATGGTATTACATATATACGTATATATATTTATATGTATTATGTATTGTCTCCAGGCCAATGAGTAATATCCTTCTAATTATTGTGTTTTATCTTATCAGTGTCGCCTGACAACGCGTTTTGTCTTTGCTTTATGTTTGTTTATAGTTTCTCTATAATTATTATTACATTTTTAATATATTTGTATTTATTTATTATAAATTTATAAATTAATAATATACAAATTGAAAAGAAAAAAAAAAAATTTAAAAATTATAAACAAAAAATGCTAATAACCAAAAAAATAATAAGTGTTAAATTATAATGATACTAAATTATAATGATAATTAGCAAATGTGTTAGTACTAGACATTCAATTATACAGGAATATTTACTATTTCTATAGTCATAAAACTGCGATTCAAATAAAAGAACCCCTATATATGTTATATATATAAATTCCAAAATATTTCCCTACAAAATTTGCATATGAATCAATTATTTTTTCCTATGCTTAAAAAAGTATAGGGTATTATCTATAAATTTATATGTATATATACATAAAGACCTATAAATATATATATATATTTTTTTGCGACTATAGATAAATTAAAATTGAATAGAATATAAGAATATAAGTGGGAAACGAATGCGTATGTAAAACATGATTCAGTGCACGTTGAACTTTCAAAGCTGATTGAATAGAGTTTTTTTTTTACCTGAAGTTACCCGAGCTTGTGTGCTCCCCACTATGGTTTATATATATTGTGAAGTTTGGATACCCATTGTGGTTGTCTTCTGTGTTTTTATGATTATTATTATACTGCGTATAATGCGATCGCGCCGTAATCGTGTACAGGCAGCTACAGTGATCTCTAGCGGTAAGCGAATAGACAAGAGTAAAAAGCTTTTTAGAATAATTTCTGGGCTCTAATCTAATCACTCGAAAAGATAAGGAATATAATATAATATAAATAATAATTATATTTATAAATTTTTGTTTCTTTTCAATGATCACAAATAATTTCTGTCATTTATTGATATTTCGCATATTGTTTATAGTCGTATAGATCTGCGTATTTTCTTTTGAATTACTTTCGACATAGATTGTTTTCATAGATTCTTTGACTGACGTCAGCTCGTTGATGAAGCCTAAAGATCTTGACAAATCAATTTCTGTTGTCTTTCAAATATTAAATTCAAGTTATGACTACAAATTCTTATATTTACCAACAAATAAGATCTTTAATATGTCGATCAAGGTAAAGAAATCATATCATAATCACTATAAAATATTGATAGATCTGCAAGACATACAAGTAATATTAGGACACATTTATATTATATTTATATATAGTCAATAATTTGATATATTCACTTATCGCCTGACTTCTATTTGACTTTCGATGTCTTCCTTCAAGTTTTGGGAATGTCCCATTTTCTCTAATTACTAATATGATGTACTTATGTTGATCATGTTTGACGTCAGTAGACTTTGTGCAGTAATCCATATAAATTTTGATTATCGCTAGCGATACGAGATAGTCAAGGTCTCAAGGCAGTTACTATTACGGGATTTCCATTGGCTGAATGCAACTTTGGTTTAGAAAGTAAATTAAGTTCCACATAATAATAATATTAATAGTTATCATAATCAGCATGATCATCATCATCATCATCATCATCATCATCATCATCATTATGAACATTAACCGATCCGATTGACGTAAATCGCTGTTGTAAATTCTCTCAGTCCACTTTAGTATTTTATTGTGTACTGCGTGTTGGATTTGAAAAGTTTCCTTAATCAATTTCTATTCATTCATATATTTTGGTAAAGGGTATTCTCATTTTGTTATGGAGTGTGTGCATATAGGGAATAAGTGACTGGTGAGCAGAATAATATATAGGAAAGTTATTTGTGTTAAAATAAAAATATATATTTTCTATAGATCTACTATTATATCATAACATATGTCATATTTCTGCTATAGAAATATTAGCTCAAATATTAAAACACATTTTTTAAGAAAGTCTTCTTATCATATGATAAGTGTGTTTATCTGAAAATATTTTGATAATATTTTTCAAAGTTCTGTATTTTTATTTAAATTGTTGTAGAAGTAGATAATATTTTTAAATATATATCATGTAAGTGTAAGGTCGGGTTTCTGTATAAAAAATCTTGATTTTGTCTTTGAGATTATACATTAGTGTATTTTTATTTTCTTAAGTATATTTTTTTAAAATTTTTTATATTTACTTTAAATAGAAAATTTTTTTATATATCGCTTTTTCTATGTCTAACTCAGAAATTCTCTACTTTAGTTTCTACAGTAACATTAAATTTTAGGGTATTTAATCTTCGTCATCAATCAAGATATTTTTCTTGTTAAGCGCTCTCGTTTTTGTTTTTGTTTTTATACCCTGAACCCATTGAAAATGGGAAATCAGGGTATAATGGTTTTGTGAAAAAGTATGTAACGGGCAGAAGGAGGCGTGGCAGACCCCATAAAGTATATATATTCTTGATCAGCGCGATGAGCTGAGTCGATATAGCCCTGTCCGTCTGTCCGTCCGTCCGTCCGTCCGTCCGTCCGTCCGTCCGTCCGTCCGTATGAGTGCGTCGATCTCAGAAGTTATAAGAGCTAGAAAGCTGAAATTTGGCATGCATACTCGTGTATACCATACGCAGTACGAGTTTGCTTTATTTTTTCGATAAATCATCCGATAACTTTTTTATCGAGAATAATCGAAAAATTGATTTTGTTTTTTTAGCCTAATTTGAACACTTTCAGACCCGGAGTCTTTAAATTTGCGTTGTATATAAAGTTAATCGATACAAAGATTTTGTAATTTACAGATTTTGGATACCACGCCCCCTTCGCCCCCAATTTGTAAAAAACGCATTTCAAGTACTAGAGACTTGTGCTTTGGAATGTACACACATATTCACCATATGATTACGTTCTAAAAGTTTCATTAAGATCGTATGTCTACAAAAGAAATTATTTAGCAAATAAATTCTCATAATATTGCCCACACTGCAGCGCAGCCCAAGCGCAGTCGCTGCTTACTGCGCAGTTAGCAGAGCGCAGGCTTATGCGTGCGTGTGGATGCATGTGTATGTATGTGTGCATAAAAGAAGTGTAGAATGATTAGAATATCAGCTTAGAGGGTTCAGGGTATCTCCTAGTCGAGCAGTCTCGACTAGAGTCTTCTTACTTGTTTATTGTTTATTATAATAAAACCGTGACGTCGCCAGCGTCTACTTGGTTAGCCGTATCTTATCTGATAAACGCTTCTCTTGTAGCCGCTGTTGCTTCAAGCCAAGTTAGCACAACGATTGCTTTCATATAAGCCATAAATACGCACAATGGCATTATTTAGTGAGCAGCTTTAAAGAAATGCACAACGCGTAGACCCAAAAAAATAAAAAAAAGTGAAGAACAGTTGAACAATTCGAATTAACAAAATTTTTAAGAGAAAAGTAATAACAATAATATAATTATAATACTTAATTATATGTGTAAAGCAATAATAAAATGGTGCACGAACCGACCGATTTGGATTTGGAAATCTCGACAATTATCCTGATCTGTTTATTTCTCATCGTCCTTGTGTGCATTCTAACCGTTATAATAAGGAGCTGTGTGCAAAAGCGAAGAAAACGAAACGGCTATTCAGTGGACAACTGTTAGTGTTTAGTTAACTTAATTATAAACATTAAATATAAATAAAGTTAATAAATATAATATAAAATACAATAATGCAGGTTTTGTTATAGTATGACTATATATATTTATATAT